AAATTTCAGTATTATACAGAAAAATTAGGCAGCTGTACAACATATGTATCCATATGCCTTAAATCAATCCCTGCCCATATCTATTATTTTAACTCTACTCTTTCCCCTTGATGTATTCCAGCTATTGCAACTGCTTAAATGTTCATTATTTTATAATTCGTTAGGAATTGATAGTTACAAGAGCTCCTTTACAAGACCACAGGATTGAGCTTTTCTTTTAAAGATTCTAAACTCTGCAGCACATTCCAATTTAATATTTATAACCTTATAATTGTCAATTACTTTTTTTTAAAAAGTATCTTGTACATCAGTGTAAAGAGGAACAATTTGTTGTGATACACAAGACGATTATTTTATGTAATTGCTGCAATTTTTCTGAATTTACATTAGCGGTGCCAGTTCTGCAATGGCATTGTTGTAAGGTTTTCAAGTTCCTAAGCACTTTTCAAAAAAACTATGCCATGTTTGTCGTCAGTTTGAAGGATAACCCATGTTCTGCAATTGGTTAGTCAATAATGGCTTCAATAAGTTATTTGCCACGAGGAGCTAGATTAAGCAGATGATGCTGAGTAAGTTTAGTACACTGCATTGGACTTGAACCTTGAGAACATCAAGGTAGCTGTCACGTCGCAAGGTGATAGCTGATGAGGAATCTCTGAGACTTGCCTGCATATTGTGCAGGGTCCAATGACGTGACTGTGGTGACCACAGATGAATGAGGTCCAGTTAAATTATCAGTGGCACATTTCCATGTGAGGCTGAATCTAGGCTGTAAGGTGCAGTCAGGTGAAGTTGCTGACCGAATTCAGAGTTTTGTTTATGTCTGAAGATTAGAGCGTCAACCAATGTAATCTGGAAGGAATGACTCATAGTAGCCAGGTGCTATTATTACTGATGTTCTGTCATTTTTTTTCCTGCAATGTAAAATAGCAATTTGACAGAACCAGCAGGACAGGGTGTTGCAAACTGCTTACAACTGAAGTTATTTAATAACAATCTTATAATTGCCACACTATGTAGATCAGTTATCGGTAAATCATTATGCAACCTTCATGCAACTCCTCGATCTCGCAGTATTTGTAAAGCAGTAATTCCTGTGAAGCACTTTGAGACATCTTGATGATGTGAGAAGGCGCTATATCAAATGGAAGGATTATTATTAATGAAAGGTTAGACTTGAGGGTTTGAGTTGCTAAATGTCAGATGAGTAAACTATATTGTGCAGATAGTACTGTACATTGTACAGCTAGTACTGTATAATGTTTTGTATTCTAAGTTAACATTTTCATTCAAAGAGGTATTGTAGTTCATTGCTAAATAATTGATCCTTGAAGTTTGTAAGCTTTGTTGTTTAATGAAGGAAATCTAGATGCACATGTACAAATACATTTTATGTTGGGCTTGGCATTTCCATATCTCCTTATAGTGTATTTGCTCTGCTTCCTGAAATGACTTTCAAAGTGACCTTGTAATGTATTCAGCACAGGTTTTTATATATAATTTGCTTGACTTCTAGTTAATGCTTTAACATGGAGTGTTTCAGACTGTCAGGCTATTTTTCTAGAGAATAAATAGAAAGTGGAAGGATTTTGTGGGTTTTTCGCCTACAAAATATAGTCAATTCCCTTTACAGTGTATTCTGTGAAGCGCTTTGAGACATCTTCAAGATGTGATAAGGCCCTATGTCAAATGCAAGGATTATTATTGTTATCTAAACCCAGCCTTTATATTTTGTGAATCAGTTGAGTGATGTAGCAAGTTCAAAACTAAATAAGAAACGTGGAAGACTGTACAACTTTTTAAATCTGTTTTTACTATTTGGATGGCATAAAGAAATATGTACACATGCCTTTTTTGCAGTTTGCTAACTTTGATGTATGAAATCTAGCTATAATGGTGTGGTGTAATATATTTTAACAACCATCTTGTCCTAAGTTGAATTCCTGTACTTTTAGGACCATCTTTCATTAACCTGATTGCAGTGTCTGTCATCCACTAAGATTTGAAAGATCCTTATTTATTTTAAATTTTGGGGGGTTACATCAAGTTTGGGCCTTGATTCCAATCTTCTGGCCTCTATGGCATCAACAGCTTCTTCTTTAACTGCAACTATTGTAGTCTGTTTATTCATTGGACCTATAGCCATTCACCGGAGCTATAGTATGTTTCCCATCTTCTTTGTTACCACAATAATAATAATAATAATCCTTGCATTTGATATAGCGCTTTTCACGTCGGGAGAACGTCCCAAAGCGCTTCACAGAAAACACTGTTAAGTGAATTGACTGTATATTTGTGGGCGAACGCGGCAGCCAATTGCGCACAGCAATGTCCCACAAACAGTCGTAGATTGAAAATGAACACAAGTTCATCTCTTGCATTTATTATTTGAATTATGATGCAAGAAGTGAACCTCCTGTAATGAAACAATGTGGCCAAAAGTGAGCAAGATGAGCAAGCGGGGCCTAAAAATGAATGCTTGTTCTGATTAGCTCACCAACAGATGTCCAAAACATGTGTTTATACAGGCAATGAATATGGAGAGATTGCTATGATTATTGATTTCTCTGTTTTATGCCCTTCAAGTACGAAAACTATCAAATCAAAAAAACTCTACATCTAACAAACAAGATTTTCACCAGGCCGACCTATAATCACTAGATTTGTGCTCCCCCCAGAAAACTATTATTAGAAATATGACCAAATGAAGTTTATTAATAGAAACATGGCTACTTCACTAGCCAAGTACATAATGTGCTAGTTTGCAGGCCCACTTGTTACATAAACTGAGAGTTACATAAACTATCCCAGCTTGCCTTGTAATGTGAAATAAGAAATAAACCAGTTTATTGGGAAGGGAGATTGTTGTATGCACATCTCCCAAGCAGCGCTTCCCTGATTCATATTACAAGACTTTGATGAACCTGCCCAACACTTAGCAGGAATTTGAGAGGTGGCTTAGAAATGCATATGAAGAGGAGCTTGAATATTGGGTGGAGAGCAAACTGGTGGGGGAATAACCAGGTAATACAGTACCATTTTTTTTATTTCTGCTGAATTAAATCTCTTCGCTCGTATGTTGCCTTCTGCCATTGTGCCGGTCTTTATACATTAAGTGCAACCTCTTGATGGTGATGAGGCTGAGTTTGGATTTGGGGATTTAATTTGGGAAGATTTTAAAAAGTACAATTATATTCACTCATCAATTTGGACTGGTAAGGCAATCAGGCTGATGAAACTTGTGAAACACTAGTTCAACAGGCATGTACTCAACTGGAACCCTAACATCACTCTACAAGCTTTGAAATAAAATTTTAAAGGTTGTATATCTTTTCTAAAAGCTGCTAGAGGGATTAGAATGGGATTACTGTAAGTGAATTTCTATTTCAAACTAACCGCTTCCACTCCAACAATGGTCTAATGGGTAAAGACATCCACTAAGACATACAAACCAGAAGGTTACAGGCTTAATTCTGAATCTAATGTCAGCTGGGGCCACGGTTGACCTTCGTGCCTTAGGCTAGGGACAGGAAAACAGCATTCTTACTCCTGATTGCTAATCAGTGATTCCTGCTGAAAGAGGCACATCGGGACACGGAGCAAAAAAAAAGGATTGGGACCAAAAAAAACTTGCATCTCCTTTTCCACGCTATGTATTTTAAAGTATACTTTTTGCATTTAACTCCACATTAAAGAGGAATTTGATTGGAAAAATTGTAACTAAATACAGATTTCACATTAGCTGCATTCTACATACTAGTTAACATATGTTGTTAATTGAGATTCTAAACATTTGAGGACTGTCAGACATGATCTCAGTTCCAGTACCCTGCTTATACTGGCTTGGTGATGCCTGAATCTGGAATGATCCCAATTCCTATTCTGAACTGCAAAACTGGATTTCAGTGCTTCACACAAAATAGGATTTCAGTATTTTAGATTGGAAAATTGGATTGCAGTAATTCAAGTTGATCATACGATCACTTATGACATTAGAAACTCTCTTGCATTATGTGCAATAGTATCTTGTATATATGGTGCAATGGTATATTCATGTACAACTGCATTTTGGAGTGTATTTGAGCTTACATATCTAGCATCTGGATTCAGGACCAAATGAGTCAAAGCAATACCAAATGCTTTTGTTTTTCTGGTGTACTGCAGATTGCTTCAATACAGTACTTGTAGTGCACAATGAGTGCAAATTACTTATTCACGTTCTGGATGTTAAAAGTGTAATGAGTTAACATAAGAGCCTCTATTGAAACAAATGGAGGTTTATACTGGCTTCTTTTTTCACATCCATTTCTGTAGCAAAACAGGGGTTGTTAGTGTTTTCCTATGTGTAAATGAATCTTGAGAAGTATCACTGTTTTCCCCAGCTTACGTTATTTTAAGGTTTAATCAATGTTGCTTGCCCAAGATTAAGTTTATATGCAGATATATATCCATCATCATGATCTGTTAAGCTAAGCAGGATTTGTCGTTTCCAAACTGTTCACTGATATTCTAGTCGGGTACAAGAAGTTTATGGTCCAAAACACTGACTACTCCATCCATGTATATTGTTTTACGCATTTTCAATTTGAGTAGAGTCCATTCTTATTCTGTAATTATTCTAATTGCTATATTTTTAAAGCTATTGGCGGCATAATCTTAAAGATGCTTTTGTACGAAGAACTTATTTGTATTGCAATTGTTAAAGTAAGTAATCATTTATAATGTTTTTGATAGTGTATAATTTCAAATGTGCATTTTCACTGTAAATTTAATGTTTAGAAAACTTGCTTTCTTCATCAGTTGACTCTTTGTACTTCTTGCAAATTCAGTTTCCATATGTTGGCAAATGAATTACCTTCTTCAGAATAATGAAGGCTTGTTTTAGAACGGGGTGTGGAGATGAGAGAAATTATTTTTTGTTTTAAAAGTGAACAGAATGGTGTGTCAGAACAATAACCTTCAAGTAAGATCCTTATTTGAAACTATTTCTGTTTTTACAGGGAGATGGCCACAGTCATCTGGTTTCTGAGTGCTTGAATCTGGCCCAGAACCTGGACCTGTCGGATACAACAGTGCAACAGAAGTTGGATGAAATTAAGGATCAAATCAAACGAGAAATACGAAAGGAACTTAAAATCAAGGAGGGAGCAGAGAACCTCAAGAAAGTTACAACTGATAAGAAAAACTTAGCCTATGTGGAAAACATGCTGAAAAAGTCAAACAAAAAATTAGATGAGCTCCATCAAGAACTACAGGAATTGAATGCACACATTGTTGTGAAGGATCCTGAGCTGGCAGGTAAATGCAGTAGGTTTAATATATCTGAATAAAGTATAAATTAATCTTAATACTCTGTTAAATGACCATGTAGCAGATATCTGCAGTAGCCAGAGGGAAGGGGAAGAGTAGAGTGTGTATTTAAAAAAAAAATCTTCAACTAAATAAGATTGTTTGTTTTAATAGAAGTATGTATGTGTGGCTCTTAAACAAAAGTTCAAAATCTAATTAATTATTTACAATTTCAGTACAATATAATATACCTTCCTGAACGTGGAAATATTGTTCAAAGCCATAGAGATTCCATGTCGGTGATGTAGTAAATTCCCATTCTGAACTGATTAAGTCATTGGTGTGGCTGTAAATAAAACAGCTGAAAATTGTCTAATCGAATATGCCAAAGTATCACTTCTGCAAATTTAACTCTGACTGAAGCAACAAGAATTTCAATTCAACCAGCAGTTTGATTCTCAGTGGTGCTTATTTCATTGTTGTTGAAATGAAAATTGTGCAACTTTGTGCAAAAAAATTGTGAAAGCATCCGAAACACTTGAGCTACAGTACATGACTAAGCAATGTTACGACAGTTGATATTTGGCTTTCAGAAAGTCATATAGACTACAAGGCAGGATTTTATTTACCTGCTCTCCTTTTTTTCAATTAAATTCTCCCCTCATCACAAATTCCTCAGAGACTAAATGAATGGTGCTCTGAATCGGGTTCCATCGTGTGTCACAATGAAGCTAGCTTACCAACTTTGCTATTATTTATTTTCAAGAGCCCATCTGTTTGTCCAAAATGTTGCTTTTTGCTGCCTCAATAAACAATTCTCATCCTAAGAATGCTTTGCCAATCCAATATGACTTGCATTTATCTTCTGCCCCATGTCAGCTTCAGTAATTATGTTTTCAACTGCTGTTGCTTCCGTTATTCTGAAGAATGCAGCTCCTTGGTGCTATATTTAGCTTAGACTTGTAGCTCTAAATTCGTTTTTTTTTTAAAGTGTTTCATTATTGTCATCAGATTTTGTTCTTGTTGTGAAGTTCTAGCTTTATGATATCAGGAAGGCCTTTTCGGTTATGTGTTGGGTTCTGTGGTGACTTTTGTGGGAAGTTTTATAATGCTTGGAGGAGAGTATTTGCGTATTCTCTGAGTTATTAATGGTGTTAATTCATTGCTTGAAGTTCTGCTTGCTATATTGTTTCACCGCTTACTCTTTCTATCTGAAACACATTTCATCATACAAATGTCTTGGGTGATACTATTTGAACACTAAAATAACATGAATAACACTGAGAGCTTCTGGGTTGAGCTTTTGTAGGATGTGGGCTGAAATGTGAGTCATCAGAAACCTTAGCTGCCTTTGCATTGGAAGGAGGAGTAAATTGTTTTGCCTTAAAAGTAGTTAGACTTTAAAAATCGAGCAAGTTTGATCTGATTTCTACATCGGTTCAAAGTCAGGCTTTGAATTAATATGCCAGCGATTCAAAATACCTTGAGGCAATCAGATTGAAGATATGGGTGTGATGTACATCCTTCAGGATAGAACATAGATCATGTCAACAATTTTGTAAGTCATAAGCTTCTAATCTTGATCTTGCCATCAAACAAAGGCTGGATACTTCATGAATGTTAAGGAGATGAGTAGAAATGATCACTTTTGTTTTTTCTCGTTTCTAGTTGAGAGTAACGTTAATGCTTGAAAGTAGATAATCTGCTTGTCATCTTGCTTAGGGAAATAGTACAATATATGTCCACAAAAGGAACATAAAGCAAGTTTATTTTTAAAAGCAGAAGGTAAACAGCTAGGCAAACATATAGTATTACATTTTATGAAACACACTTGTATTTTCTTCTCAGAAGAACCATGGCAACAAACCATTACCTGTATGATGCCCAAGAAAATAAATTTTCAGAATTCCACTCACAAGTCATTTGTTTTCAGATTGTCCCAAAACCCCCGATACTCCTAATCATGAGTCTACAGAAAATAGCCGCATTGCAGCCTTGAAGAAACAACTGGATATTGAACTGAAAGTGAAACTAGGAGCTGAGAATATGATCCAGATGTACTCCAATGGATCTTCAAAGGTAGGCTTATATGCTAAGAATACAACTGCAGTATAGTACATAGAATATCATTCAATCTCTTATTTTTGCAAAGAAACTTTATTCAAATTGATGCATTCTGAATTCCATTAAGTCAGTAATTTTTTTNAAAGAAGGTTTTGAACTAAATTCTATCAATTCTAGCATAGCTGCTTGCAGTTTGGCTATTGCAAGCTTATTCTGTATTCTTAAAAAAATATATTGGTTCTAATATAGTTTTGAAAGTGACTTTGACTGTATACCAAATTCAACATTATTCAAGAATCTAGTAAAATATCTTATTATAACCTGGACCATGTTTCAATGTGTCTGTGCACAATTTGGTTTCCTTCATGCAGAGAAGAAAGGTTCTAATTTTTTTTAAAAAAAGCTTCCTTAAAACCCCAGCTCTGCGTCAGGCTCTGCCACTGTTAAGCACTCCGAGACACTGCCCTGCTTGAAGGGCGCTATATAAATGCACATCGTATGTTTATGTTGAATTATCAGTCAGGGCAACATCGCGTACGCTGCATTTGCTTTTGGTTTTCAACAAATTCAAGAGTCAGCCAGGGTTCCCAGACCCCAGCGGCCCTCCTGGTACACTTTACTGTGTGGATGCCAGATTGTACAAATTAGGCTCCTTTATAAACAGGGTTTCTGTTAAGTTAGTCAGTTTGCCAACATTATAGAAAAACATTAATGTAAGTTTCTACATGTGTTTTCTAGTACTTTAGATTAGACTTTTTAATTTTCAGGATCGGAAACTGTTGGCTGCAGCTCAACAAATGCTTCAGGACAGTAAGACAAAAATACAAGTTATAAGGATGCAAGTTCTCAAGTCTACACAGACTAGTGAAACAGCCTTTGAAAATTCAGACGGCATAGGTAAGGGACATAGTACAATACTACATAAACCAATGTTCTGGTGTGGGATGACACACTACTCATCAATTACATAAATTTGGTGTAAAATAAAAGGTAGGAAAAGTACTAATAATGGGCATTGTTACACAATTTGCTGTGTAGACTACTTGGTTTTGCCATTATACTTTAAACCAAGTCTTGTCGGTTCAAGTAGACGTTAAAGATTCCACGGCACTATTCAAAAAGAGAATGGGGTTTCTTCTGGTGTCTTTGCCAACAATTCCCCCAGAGATAAAAAAAAAAAAGTCATTCAAGGCTGTTTGTGGGTTATTCCTGTGCACAAATTGGCTGCTGTGTTCACCTACAAATGCACAAATACTATTCTTTACAGAAAACTGAATTGCTTTGAGATGTTTCAGTGTTTTTGAAAATGCTATATCAAATGCAAAGATTAATAGTTTACTCAGCACAAAGCTTCTGTTTTGCTTAGTGGATTTCCCATGTGGCATTTACTTTTGTATGATTTTAATGATTAAATTTGTTTTGTTCAGACTGTAGTGCAATAAGAATTTGCTTCTGAAATTGACTGATTATTTGTTTTTATTCAGTGACAAAACCTGGGATAAGCCCCCTTGAGCTTAGAGCTGAAGAGCTTAGGCACCATTTCAGAATAGAATATGCAGTGGCAGAAGGAGCAAAGAATGTGATGCGACTTCTTGGGTCTGGAAAAGTTCCGGACAAGAAAGCACTTTCAGAGGTGACTTTTTTTAAATACAGATTACATTCTTATGACTTAAAAACTTTGGTATGTTGAATTAATTGTTCCTTCTTTCATAAACAGGCACAAGCAAGATTTAATGAATCAAGTCAGAAGCTGGATCTTTTAAAATATTCATTGGAACAAAGGTTGAATGAGCTTCCAAAAAATCATCCAAAGAGCAGTATTATCAAAGATGAATTATCAATGGTTTCATCGCCAGCCTTAAGTCCACGCCAAAGTGCGATTTACCCTCAGAATCCATACAGCACACTGTCAAAACCCGCAGCATTAACAGGTCTATATTTCAGAAGTCTGAATATTACGTCAAAACTGTTTTAAGGGTGGGTTAACATGTAGGGTATATGTTAATTAAATAGACTGTTCCAGATCTAATGAACCTCAATTTTTTGTAGTTGTGCAACAAGAAAGAAAATATGTATTGCAAAATCAGCCTAAGTGCATTAGGCAAGTTAGATGAACCTATGCTATTTTCAGTGGTTTTAGAGCACTTGGTGTAAAGTTTGGGTGTGACTTATGCACTGTTTTCTCGCATCTATTTTGCAAGCTTGGGGGGTATTGAGTTCTCAAAAGATTATTACAGATATTGCTTTACAATTAATGCCTTAATTATACATTTAAAATATGGGGAGTGGATGAGGTAAGGGGGCCTCCATTATGTATCTTTTCCGGAAAAGCTCTCCCAACACATTTTGTCTGAATAGTTTGGGATTGGCCTCCCATTCCTCTCTCAAGGTCCTGGAATGAGCCGTCGCGTACCAGCTCCGCTCCTTTCTCTCTTGCCATTCCCTCTTTGAACCCCTCCAATCTGGCTTCCAATGCGGAAACAGCCCTGGTCAAAGTCACTAATGACATTCTGAACATCTGTGATCAGGGCTCCCTCTGCCTCATTGTCCTCCTTGACCTCTCTGCCGCGTTTGACACCGTCGACCACTCCATCCTCATACACCGCCTCTCCTCCTTAATCTTCGCGGACCTGGCCTTGCCTGGTTCGATTCCTGTCTCTCTCACCGTCTCCGCTTTGTTGCCTGTAACAATTTCTCCTCCAGCCCCCGCACTGTCATGTCTGGCGTACCCTGGGGCTCTATTCTTGGCCCTCTCCTCTTTAATATCTACATGCTCCCCATCGATGACATCATCCACAGACATGGGTTCAACTTACATATGTATGCGGATGACACCAACTCTATCTTTCTGCCTCCACCCTCAACTCCAGGACTACTACTGTCCTGACAGACTGCCTGACGGACATCAAGTCCTGGATGAGGGCAAACTTCCTACAGTTGAATGTGAACAAGACTGAGGCCCTCCTGATTGGCTCACGCCAGGGCCTCTGCACCTCAGGTTCTCGCAGCATCAACCTCCATGGTTGCACACTACAACTCACCAAGCCAGTCAGGAATCTAGGTGTCTTGTTCGACCCTCAACTGTCTTTTCTTCCCCACATCCAAGCCATGACCCGTTCTGCCTTCCCTCACCTCCATAACATTGCTTGACTCTGCCACTACCTCACCCCTCAGGCCACTGAAACTCTTGTTCATGCCTTCATTACCTCCAGGTTCGACTGTGCAAACGCCCTGCTGGTCGGCCTTCCCAACTCCTCCCTCCACAGGCTGCAGAATAATCCAGAACTCCTCTCCCGCACCAAACTCCGTGACCCCATCTCCCCCATTCTCACCCGACTCCATTGGTTCCCTATCCTTCAGAGGATCCAGTTCAAAATCCTGGTCCTCATCTAGAAAGCCCTCAGTGGTCTCACCCCACCCTATCTCTGTGACTTCCTAACCCCCTACCAACTGCCCGCTCCCTCCTCTCAGCCGGCTCTGTCCTGCTCCATGTCCCCTGACCCATCCGCCCCACCATTGGTGGGAGAGCCTTCAGCCACTCTGCCCCCAACCTCTGGAACTCCATCCCCCAATCACTCCGCCTCGCCCCCTCCGTAGCCTCCTTCAAGTTCCGCCTCAAAACCCCCCTCTTCGACCATGCCATTGGTCACACCCCTTCCCCTCCCCTCCCTTTTCCCCCCCAACCCCAGCTCGGGTCTGAAATGCTGTACACTGTCCAGCGCCTTGGGGCATCCTCCCAACGTGAAAGGCGCTATACAAATGTAATCTTGTTGAATAAACTGTTCAGATACCTAGAAAAATGCATGGTTTGTCCCTTGCAGTAAATACTACTATACATGAGTCAAGTATTATGAAGGGAGTGCTGTCCACATTTAATCAGTATCCCAGAGTAGTATAGTGATGAGCCAAAAATTCAGAATTGAGTTCAATATTCATGTTATATCAATGGGATTATAGTTTTTAAGGAAAAATATATGCCATTTCCAGACATACTAGTGGTGGGAGGGATTTTTATGTGCTTTGGCATCATTGCATGCTCTACTCTTGATTTTAAAATGTGCTTAAATTTAAATGTGAAAACTGTTTTGCGTGTAACCATTATTCACTAGGTCTAGGGTTTATAACCATGTAGGGTTTATTCGGCTTAAGTTATTATTTCCATTGCTCTAACACTGAAAATGTTTCTCTTCACCCTGGTACTATGAAGATAATTTTAAAATATTATAATTTTCTATTTACAGGTAGCTTGGAGGTTAGACTTATGGGCTGTCAAAACCTGCTAGAGACAGTCCCAGGTCGGTCAAAAAATACATTTGTTCCTTTACCTGGCTGGAGTCCAAATGAAACCAGATCCTCCTTTATAAGCAGAACCAGCAAGAGTAGGGGTGGAAATAGCCGCTATCCTGTCAAAACTGAAGATTTGTCCAGTTAAGTAAATTTTATTTTGCTGAATGTGTGTAGCCTTTTCCAGTAAATGATTAGAAATATTTTGTCATACATCTATGAAGTGAAGACCAAAGCAGTTTTACAATAATGCAACAAGGGTATTTGTGTTTTAAAAGTCCGCTGGGGAAAGCAAGTTTTTAGAAATCCTTAAAATATCACTTTGCAATCGAGCACAAATTTATTTTGTTGAAATCTGAATCAATATCTTGGCAAACATAACCATAATTTCCTTGTTCAATCTGCACTTAGGTATAGATATTCTCACCTCATTGGAGAAAGTCGCATGGAGCACTGCCTTTTATCGAAAATGCCCTGGAGTTTGTCCAATCTTGCCTTGTACATACACCCTATTCTTGTCTGTGTCCTTCACTCATGTGCTCCCATTGCCCATTCCCACACTAGAGAGGATTTTTTTCAAATCACTGGAAGGGGTCATCCTTACCAATAACAAATTCAGTTCACTTGCATTCTAACATGGTGTGCAGAATGAATGACAAAAGATTAAGTCAAGTAGAAAGATCTTTATTGTTCATGTTGCTTTATTTCATGGGAGTCTTAAGCCCATCATTCTAGTGTGAGATCACTACCTCTTATGGTTCTGTGAACTGATGACATTTTTTTCCCAGTCGTATGTGGAGGATATTTACCTGACAAGGAAATAAGATTATTGAGTTCAGAATGTCAATTTACTGGTAGGATTTTTGCTTTGTAGATATTGATTTTATTTTCATTAAGTTAGGAAAACAAGAAGATTATATTATGTTCAATCCTTGTCCAGTAGAGATGCAAGATGAATGGTAAACAGTTCCATTTTCTAGAACATTGTTTTGCAAACGTCCCAATTTCAACTTGCTAAGATGGGGAAATGGTGCATTTGCATTCTTCTTTAGTTACAGTCAATGTTAAAGTGTTGACCTAAAGATATTTTTCAATAATGAAATAATTTTACCCATCTTGAACTTGCTTGCTTCTAATTGTTAAATGTTATGCAGTGGAAGAGATCCTTGTAAATAACCACAGCCTCTTAGAGTGGCTAACTGATTATTTATTATTTCTGCAGATGAGATCGGTGCTGTACTAAAGCTAGACAATACAGTTGTTGGACAGACTGCTTGGAAGCCAGTTAGCAATCAGTCATGGGATCAGAAGTTTACATTAGAGCTAGATCGGGTAAGTGAGAGAAACTGCACCACTATTTCTTGGAACTAGGGCATTGCATGTATTAAGGAGGACAAACTCTAAGCTGGGATTTGGTAGCTGCAGATGTAATGCTTGTTTTAATTGGAAATGAACAAATAGTGGCATATGGAATTTAGATGGAATTCTTAGTCTGGCTATATAACTAAAAATGGGTCATGGAATTTCACGTGAAAGCCAGCTATGAATTGTACCATGTTCAATGTAACAAAGCTAAAGTCAGCTTCAAATAATGTGCTCTCTCAGGCTTTCCCTTCTTCTCCCTCCCCCCATCTTACTACACCACCTTCTTGAGCAGCACAGAATTTTAGTGGACTATTGTGTATTTCACATGGAATTTTCTGTACAAGATGAATAACTCATTCTTCTGCTGTGTTTGTGTTTATCCTGCTCTGAGGAAAACTGTTTCACTCAGAGATGAAGAATAGAAGTCTCATGTATTCTTCCCAAATTGCATTACCTCTTGGTTGTTAAAAAGATAACGTGCACAAAACTCCCAAAATGAAGTGTCAAACCATCAGTAAAAAAAAAATTCCCTTGGCAAATTAGGAGCTCTCGGGTGTTTTGATTGACCCCTCAGAAACTGAGATGATCATTAGAATTTAATCAGTTTAAAGTTTATGAGCCCTCTTGTCAAAATGTCTAAGAGCTTCGAATGAGAAAGGGAATAAACCCAGTTTGATTTGCACCGACAACATCTGTCAGTGAGTGTGAATTCTAAAGCCCTTAAAACCACCAGTGCAAATTGTACTTAACTGCATCCTGATTTATATTTGGTGGCAATATTTGTGTTCATGTTCCAAACTAGGGAGAAATTGTTCTTTCTAAACCAATGTTTTGCACACATTTTTATTAAGTGTGCTAATTCTGAACATCAAACCGATATAAACAAAACATTCATCTTGGTAATCACATTTGATCCATGCAATAGTGCAAGGACGGCTGGTCTATTGGCTGCTTTCAGCATGCAAGCCATGCATCCTTCCAATTTAAATTGAGCATCTAAGGATTAACTTCTTGCTTTTCAAGTCCTCATTGGCAAAGCCAACCCTCTCCCCTTAAACATCAGAGACATGACTTGACAGGCATTGAGACTAAAGATATGACTTGAGAGTATGACTGAAGCAACACTATTAGGATATGTAACTTCATCTTAAAATTATTCATTAAATGCCAGCAATAATGTTTCATGGATTCTTTCTCTTTTGGAAAGGCTCTGATTGTGTCCTTGCCTGAAACTCTGCTTCAGGCAAGGAAGGACACAATCAGAGCATTCATAACATCGAGCCTTGACTACGCAAACTCCTTGCTTATCAGCCTCCCCAACTCTCTCCTTAGGCTGCAGATCATCCAGAACTCTGCAGCCTATGTCCTCTCCCAGACCAGGCTCCGTGACCCTATCACCCCCATCCTCGCCCGACTACTGGCTTCCCACCACTCAGAGGATACAGTTTAAAATCCTGGTCCTCGCCTTCAAAGCCCTCCATGGCCTAGCTCCCCACTCTGCTTCTGCGACCTTCCATCCTCTTACCATCCTGCCGCTCCTTCCATTCAGCAGGGTTCAGCCTGCTTCATGTCCCCTGCCTCGACTGCCCCGCCATCAGTGGGCAGGTCTTCTGCCACTCTGCCCCTACCCTCTGGAACTCCATCCCACAGTCCCTCCACCTCACCCCCTCCCTTGCTTCCTTCAAGATCCGTCTCAAGACCCTCCTCTTCGACTGTGCTTTCTATCACCCTGCTTTCTCCACCTCTCCACCTTTCCCGATCCCCAGCTCGGGTCCGAAACACTGACTGTCCAGTCATGTCCTCCTGATGTGAAATACGCTATACAAATGTAACTTTGAGGTTGTTGAACATCACTTGGTGAAGGCGGATTATTGGAGGATACTTTAGACACTAGAAAATCAGGCTGGATTATTGGTTCTCCAGTCCAATTTCTTCAAATCTTCTTTGCTCTCAGCAACCACTGTCATCAAACTCGTGATTCATTAATGCTTACTGCAGTTTTTTTTACCTTCGTTCAAAGACAAAAAAAACTAGATTATGCAGCAGATTAGTAAATTGACATTTCATTTATGATGGCCAGCCCAGAAGATTTTGAATGAGCCTTCTTCCTGCTATCTGTAAGGGTCCTTGCTGACATACACTAGGGTGGTGTCAACCCAATTCCGAGCAGGTGCATGCTTTCAACACAGAACTAACTACAAATTGACAACCCGGTCTATAATTTGTAAGAGAGGCATTTGATCAGTATTTCTGCACCATGACTCCCACCAATCAAATAAACAAGTTTTTTTTTTAATCACTTCATACGTGTGTATGATATATAAAATATCTATACTTAATGTTGTATTATTATATGTAAATAGAAATATATAGACAGATAAAACATCTCATTTAATAAGACTTTTTTCCCATATTTTAGTCACGTGAACTGGAGATCTCTATTTATTGGCGTGACTGGCGTTCTCTTTGTGCTGTGAAATTTCTGAGATTAGAAGACTTCCTAGATAATCAACGACATGGAATGTGTTTATACCTGGAGCCACATGGTACACTGTTTGCAGAGGTATGTTATGGTTTATCTAAATATCATGATTAATTTGTTGTTCCAGTAATTTTTTTTTCATGTGTAATATTGCTTTGCGTTTTCAGGTCACCTTTTACAATCCCGTGATTGAAAGACGACCAAAACTCCAAAGGCAAAAAAAGATTTTTCCAAAACAGCAAGGTAAAAAAAAAAAAATCAAATCGGGGAAATGATTTGAATTTCTATCCATGGATGGAACAAATGTATTATGGGGGGAGGATAAATTATACGTGTGATAAATCTTAGTGGTTAGAAAAACGTAGTAATGGATAAATATAAGATCATAGACATCTGGTGTTTCAGTTGCAAGGCTCAGTTGAATGAACATTATCTAATGCTGAAGTTTCATAAACCATTAGCAAAGATGAAATGGGTTCTGAATATCAACATGGAAAAATGTACTGCCTTAAAATTGCTACCATTTATTTGTTGGTTTAAAAAGGGTATTTTTTAACTACATCTGTACTGTGAGGTTTTCAAGGCATGGTTGAATGGGAAAATTAGAATGTACTGGTTGTGGTGTAGTCTGCTGCTGCAGAGTTTTAGTCAGGTTGAAGCCAGGCATTTCACTACAAGGTAGAGATAAATTTGTGGGTATTTTACTTTCTCCCCCACTCTCTCTCTCTCGCTCCTCCCCCAAACTGGTTCTTAATCTAAAGGGTACAGAAAATTAAAACAAAAACTAATTAAATGAACCGAAGGTATGTGATGGGACCAGCACTGAAACAACTTTTTCTAGCAAAACACAGGAACATGTACGCTTCAATTTGAAAATGTAGTAAATAAAAACACACAGTGCAATTTAGTGATGTGAACAGAATGTACAGTTCAAAATGCATATGCAATGGTTGAAATATAGCCATTATATTAGAATTGCAGTTCAAGATAACTCAGAATTATTATTATTTAAAGCAAGGCCTAACCGCTGTGAACCAGTAGGAAGGAAAAGTTTCAGATCTACAGTATTTCATATTTTTTGTTTCAATACTTCCTTTCCCAGTGGATCAGTTAGTAACAGCTAATGCATACACTTGTACAGACTGAGGTAGCCTTAACGTTGGGTGTCCCTGATCAGGGGATTTTGCTACTGTTAGCTATGTAGTGACCCCTGCTGGAAAGTGTGTGGGCCTGCAGGCACGTATGTTGGGTGAGCAAACATTGGGCCCAGCTGAATATGCCGAATGGTTTAACTCGTAGGCTCGCACATGAAATATAGCCACCTGGGCAAGGTACCTAGAGAAAGACTGTAATGTTGTCTCAGTATGACTCGGAGCCTTCAGAAGAGAAGGGAAAAAATTAAAGGGGTAACTATTTTGATCCGGAAACTGATCTTTGAATATTAAAAATTTAGTTGTAAACTCTTTGTAGTAATAAGTAGATTAAAAAGCTGCATTACTCGCTCTGTTTTGTCGTGTTGCTGCAGGCAAAACATTCCTTCGAGCGCCTCAGATGAATATTAATATTGCCACTTGGGGGCGACTGATGAGGAGAGCCGTTCCTACAGTAAATAGTTCTGGCACCTTTAGCCCTCCAGCCTCTATCCCTGCTGCTGTACCTGTGGATGTTGCTCACTCAGAAAATACAGAATCCACTGGGTATGTGTTCCATTATTAGTCCATGAAAAAAATATTCTGTTATGTTGAATTTGTCTGAAGGTTAGTTTAATTATTTTCAAGGAGAAGATGACTTTAAAGTGAGCACTGTATTTTGAATGTTAACCTTTAATGTTTTGCTTGTTTGTTGTATTTTCTTAGAAGTTAATGCTTGGAAGGGTTCCTGTTGTAGGCCAGAGTATGTCAACTACATGTACTTAGTTGATCTCAGGGAAAACAGTCACTCTGGATTTAAAGCTCGGTCAATTTGAATGCAGCATTAAATATAACAGTGAAGGGTTTATCAATAAGGAAAAAAAAACAGGAAAAAAATGTTAGGTGTACATGTTATAACCAAATGTTAAGTCATGATATCATATAGCAGAAACTGCCAAGTGAAATGAAGTCTGTAAGTACAATCATATATTGAAAGTTAAAGGAAGTGATTCTATGAATAAGCCATTATGAACGAAGGATTCGTGAAATGACATTTAGGAGCGTTATGGCAGAGGTTTTACCCAAAACAGCAAGCATGTTCCCTAAAGCGTGCCAAGAAAGGCACTCCTTCAAATGATGCAAACGTTCCACTTTCTGTGCTGCTTTGTAAATGGAGGAACGTCTGTTAGGTCTTGCTCAAGTCCAGGGCATTAATTTTGAGATGATTTTGGACACCCTAATCCTTAGTTTCTAAAATCTGAAGGGTAGAAAAAGGAAAGTGCATTTGTTCTCATAGTTTAGAAATCAGTGATTTTCAGCCCTGCTAACGTTTAATTTTCCTTTTCGTTACTGGCTTGGACAGTGTGTAGGCTGCACCCTGCAGTTATAGATTCACTGTCCTGTGTCGGAGGAATTCTGCGTAGTACTTTAGCCTTTCCTAAGTTTTCATCTTAAACCTATATCTCCATGTTGCTTTAGTTTAGTCTGCACTAGACCTACCAGGACATCGTCATTATTTATACATTATGGGCATATCAGGCACTTAGTGTGGTGAGCATAATTTACAGCTTTGTCGTAACATTAAAGGGGAAGCCTTATAGAATAAAATCACAAGGTTTCTGAATGCTTGGGCAGTGTGAATACAAGATATAGGGAGGGATAGTTTGGTGAAGTTGTGGAGGCTAATGCATGAAATGGGAAGGTAGATTATTTCAACTTTAATGTAGTACTTATTTGAAATACGGTGGACTCAATACATTTGGCATATAGCCTTCCAAATTTTAATTATCTTAACATTAATATAGCTTGTTGTAACTTGGCTGTAAACTGAATGGTTCTGAAATTAGATAAGAAGGTTTAAAAAAAAATAAAAAATTTCCTCCCTCCCTTTATCCCATTTGTAGGATAGGATGGTGTACTTATTCAAGAATGATTAAGCCTCTTAATGGGAGAGACCACCCTGTATTCTGTCTCTCTAGATTTTCAGGAAGCTGTCTCTATAGTATAGCTACTAGAGGAGGTTAAGCTACCTATTAGAGATCTAAAAGTGTTATTCATTGAAATTGTAAGTATGAAGTGTTATTAAAGTTATAGAATTTTGAATCATTTTGTGCATTGTTCTTTTAAGAGATCTACCAGTAGCAAAGTTAGAATTTGACCCTGAGCCACCGCCCGCTCCACCACGAGCTTCCTCTCTGGGAGAGAATGGAGGAACAACATCAGACATCAGGATCTCAGATCAGCATGTTCAGGTGGGAACTTGAAACACTTCAATATTTAAAAAACAAAATCAGTAATAACCCTATTCATTTTATTGTACAGCTGGGCAGGACAAATTTGCAAGCCTATGGGGAGAGAGCGAGGGAATGGGATTGGTTTGGACAGCTCTTTCAAAGAGCCAGCACGATGGGCCAAATGGCCTCCTTCTGTGTTGTATGATTATATTTTGATTTCATTACTTTAGTTTCTGAGCTGATTTGGATCTCTGGGTGCTCCCTGTGCGCCACAATATTGGCCATTTGGGATGTTCTTTTTTCTGTTTAAAATGGTGGTTAATGGTACAGCAGAGTATTTAGTTTTACCACTATTTACATCATAAATGGGAATATTTCAATCACTCCTTTCCTTCAGCAATCAATGGCTGAGGCTTTAGCCACTACATCCTGCTTTCTACAACAGTATCCTAAAATCCCTTTACCCTGTAACTTCTCACTTTATTTTCAAAACTCTCAAAAAAAATCAGAGCAGCCTTGATGGGGTTGTTCTGTGCTGTAACAATCTATGATTCTGTTTCACAATCTTTTTTGATGTAGGAAAGGCACTGATGGTGTTTACTGACTTTTGTTTTACAGGATGCACTCTCAACTTTTGATTTTCTTATCGATAGAAACAGTATTGTTCCAAAAGTTGAGAACAACGTAATTTCAACATCTGATGTACTGCACTCAGATCTAGACTTCCGAACAATCTCACAGGCAGACAATCAACGGTGTGTTTTTTTGTATACGTTGGTAAATCACTGAGGAAATATTTAAAATTGTAGAATTATAAGCAATGAATAGTTTGGCTAAATTATTTCTGATAAACTAAAAATTTGTCTGACTCTAGAACACAACAGAGATTCCAGTTCAGTCTTAAGGACTTCAGATGTGCTGCTGTGCTTGGCAGAGGACATTTTGGAAAGGTAACTATTAAATGAAACTTGCACATTTCTTTCACCACAATTTGTATAGTGATTGAAGAATTGCAATTGTTCTACCAATTTGTGCTTTTGCAGGTTCTTCTTTCTGAGTATAAAGTCACTGGTGAAATGTTTGCAATCAAGGCCTTGAAGAAAGGTGACATTGTAGCCCGTGATGAGGTGGATAGGTAAGTTTGAGGACTAAGCTATTAATAAATACTTCATTATAATCTACCTACATTTTTTTAAAAAAGATATTTGCAGTGGAGTAATAGTAAATACTGTTGTCCACATATTATGATGAAAGGCAGACTATCAACCAGAAAATCATGGAGATGCCACTATTTAACACAATTTTTTGCACCCTTATAAAGTATATCCTTTGAGACCCATTGCTTTTATTTTCCTCCTGCTATCAGCACCAGTCAAATTATATCTATTCTGGCAGGTGAGCAAAGCCTCTCTTTTTGAATTTGCTGTCCAGTATGACCCAAATTAATTGTAAGTTTTAAAACTAATTATTCCTTTATGTGTACTACATATGCTGTATAATCAGCTAAAACTAATAGGAAGTTCTCTGTGATAACGGTTTCAAAGAGGGGAAATAAATAAGCATTAGACAAAGCAGAATCAAAACCGATACCAGAAAGCAATGTTCAAAGTAGATAGGAGTAGCTCAGACATTTGACCACTGGATGTAGGACCAGATGATGATGTAAGATCAATCTTGATCAAAATGACATTACTGGAAGCCCTGGTTGGCTGGCACATCAATGTAGGAGGTCTCAACCTGTTCCCAAGTTTGTTAGCTGGAACCAGACAAGTCAGTTGAACAAGGACTGTGCCACATAGTTTGTTTTCATTCTGCTATTTAGATGTTAGAAAGTGCCTTGTTTGTTTGTTTTATATAATGTTTTGAGATTTTATATAATATTTTTGAGTTTAAATTATTGCTGAAATGTAAAGAATTTTAATATACATTTTCTTCTGTTCTGCCTACAGCCTTATGTGCGAGAAGAGAATTTTTGAGACTGTGAACAGTGTCCGGCATCCATTCTTGGTCAATCTATTTGCCTGTTTCCAGACCAAAGATCATGTATGTTTTGTAATGGAGTATGCTCCTGGTGGGGATTTGATGATGCACATTCATGCTGATGTTTTCTCAGAACCCAGGGCTGTGTAAGTACTTATTTTAATTGAGGTATTTGCAGATATATTTTTCAGTCCTTTGCAAGACTTCTTGTATTCTGTGAAATCCAACAGCTGCTTGTTTTATTTGTGTTCAGGATGGATATAGCTAAATTTAATACTGGGCGATTTAATAAATGCATTTAATTGTTTTTTTAATTTTGTTGCTGCAGATTTTATGCTGCTTGTGTGGTTCTTGGGTTGCAGTATTTGCATGAACATAAGATAGTTTACAGGTAAGCAGAAAAATTACCATTTGTTTTTAAATATCATTTGACAACAGTATCTACGTTGCATTCTAACCATGATCTGTACAGAATCCACCCCAGCTGCAATAAATTAATTCTATTTTCATTATGGTGCTACCTTTTTTAATTTCCCTTATGATTGACGGAAATGCCACCTGTCTAGCTTTGTTGTGTCAAAATCAGATGATTTAACTGTTGTACAAATATACATTACTACAATTTTAGAGAGGAATAATTGATTGCTGAGAAATTAAACAGTATATTTTGTAGATTAATACTGTCTGTTTCCTTGGAAACAATGGGGTGATATCACTCTAAACCTACAGTTGTTGTTAATCAATCTTTTAATTGTACCTTGACTATTGTTCAGCTGTATGAAGGATGGCTCCCTTATTCGTCTGCCGTGACATTTCTGCAATTGGAAGAGAGGAAATGCTAAAAATAAAACTGATTCAATTAAGGTATTATGGTGGGTATTAAGAGAGTAAATTTTATCCATAGGCTTGAGCCTTTTATGTGCTGGTGGGGTAAATATAGTATTCTTTCAGATTAGGTAAGGAACTATGTCCAGGGAGGTGTGGCAGTCCACCACCTCTCTGATGCCTCATTAGTGACAAGCCTGCTCAAACTCCAGGTTCTTGAGTCAGTCCCTAATCTGCCATCAGCAGTGCTGATGTGTTGCTAAATCAACCAACCCATGACGTGATGGCCTTATTACCAAGTAGCCATAGTTAGTTAAAATATTGCAGTTTTAAAAATTAATGTCAACAACTATTTTTTCATCTTTATATCCTCTTCCAGAGATTTAAAGTTAGATAACCTGTTGCTGGATAGTGATGGCTATGTGAAAATTGCAGACTTTGGCCTTTGTAAAGAGGGTGAGTATTTACTGTTTTGCAGCTCTCGGGTGTGGGAGGGAGGGGGGAAGACTGGTAGCTTTCAAGTATGGCATAATTACCTATGCAGTCTAACGATAAATGATTGTTGGTGCTTGGTACTAATCTATTGCTTAATACCTTGGCAGACCAATTTGAATAATTACTTAGCTAGAAGTCTGGTTTCATTGTGGCAGAATATTTTATGGCATGTAAGGCTTATTACATTGCACACATTATTAAACAAATGGCTATACCTGGAAATCAACATTAAACCATGAATATCGACTTCAAACTCATTAATTTGCTCAATCTGGTGACTTTAATGGAACTGCACAGATGGTTGGGTGTCAGCAACAGGTCGATTAATCTCAAGGATCCAAGTATCTGATGAGGAACAAACTGGAAAAGTACCTTGAACTTGGGGCTCAATAACTTTATTGGCAGAATATAATAGTGGATTATTGAATATAAGAAGTATTAAAATGACTGTCACAATATTTATGATTTTACTCCTGGTTGAGTAACACATTTGTTATGGCCCACTATCTATTCATTGGAAGTGTACATTTATTAAATTCTCTTTGCAGAGTATGTGTAGCTGTAAATTCACGTGAACTTTTTGTGCTTTACTCAGTTACTCAATTTATGAAATTGCTGTTTATGGTCCGTGTTTATTTTGACTGAGTGAAAGATTTTGGAACCTATTTGGTGGAGGCAAATATAAAATCAGCTAATTTGGTGGTATTTATTTTAGGTATGGGTTTTGGAGACCGAACAAGCACATTTTGTGGCACTCCTGAATTTCTTGCTCCAGAAGTGCTTACAGAAACATCCTACACCAGGGCAGTGGATTGGTGGGGACTTGGTGTTCTTATCTATGAGATGTTAGTTGGTGAGGTGAGTGATAATAAGTCAAGACACTTGTTTAAATATTATATGTAATGCAAAAACTGATTGCTTTTACTCTCCCTGGTTTAGTCTCCATTTCCTGGGGATGATGAAGAAGAAGTGTTTGACAGTATTGTAAATGATGAAGTTCGATATCCCAGATTCTTGTCTACAGACGCAATCTCCATTATGAGAAGGGTATGTTTCCATTTTTTGGGGGGGGGAGAAAAGGCAAATAGCTTTAATTTTAAGTCTATAGAAGCTTGTATTGAATATTGGTCTTCCATCTGCATTGAAAGTGTAGTAGATCATATTTTACACAAGTCATATTTGTATTCGATGCATTTTGTTTTTTAAATAGTCATATGTAGACTACTTAACAATTGTTAATTTTAAATTAGTGAAAAACTTAATTTTTTTATGAAGATAAAAATGTGACTCAAAAGGATGATTTTGATTCATTAACTTAATTTAGCAGCATTCTTTAAACAATCTGATACATATTGCTTCAATGTGTACCCAAGTAATATAATGCTGCATTTACTGTCCAATTCAAAAGATTTATAAATACATTTCTTATGTGAGTGTATCCTTTCCTTTTTATGTAACATAGCAACTGGAATAAACAGCAGGAATACTATAATAACTACAGTTATAGTTTTTGGATCCATTGTAGATGACCTCACACTTCCCCCACACTGAATTAAATTGCCAGTTTTGCCCACTCACTTAATGTCTTAAGTCCCTTTATAATTTCCTGTTCCCATCTACACAATTTACTGTGTCTCCCAACTTTGTCATCTAATTAGTATTATTGTTACCTTTAGCTTCTACGAAGAAATCCAGAACGACGTCTTGGAGCAAGTGAAAGGGATGCAGAAGATGTCAAAAAACAAGCATTCTTCAGAGTAAGTGGAGTTGTTTTTTCATGTACAAATAACATGTATGATGGTAAAGCAAAATGTACAGAAGGGCTACAGTTCTAGAGGTAATAACTGAATCATTTCTGGTATTCATGTGATGAATATTGGTGCTAAAAGTTTCTAGGTTTTGTTGAACTACAGGCAAATCTGTTTTTCATTTGTTTTTCTCTCTCTTCACAGCATATTGAATGGAACAGTTTATTATCAAAGAAGGTAAAGCCCCCCTTCCAGCCCATCATTCAAGGTCGAGAAGATGTCAGTAACTTTGACGAAGAATTTACCTCAGAGGCACCAATTCTTACACCACCTCGGGAGCCAAGGATCCTCATTGAGGAGGAGCAAGACATGTTTAAGGATTTTGATTATATAGCAGACTGGTGTTAGGACAAAACAGCATATTTTTATGGAGTAGAAACTGTGAATTCCTTGCTGACTGTAGCTCACAGAAACACCCGTATGAGACAAATAGTGGTTACTTCCAGACCTTACTGCAGTCTGTGCCATCTGTAATCCTCAAATCTCATGTAACTGAAACTTTCTGAAAGAATATCATAACCACAGTGAAGAGTGGCAATGTAGGATCTGTCAGATCTGTGACCACTGGGAAAGTTTGGGGCTGAATAACATTGGTTTATTGCAGTGCTCACCCTGGCTGGAATAAAGCCAGAAACCCCAGTATGGACTTTGCACTGTTCATTAATGTAACTACTACAATTTTTTTTCTTACTCTGAACTTCACTTTATGAATGATAACCGCTGCCTTAATTATGAAAGGATATTGTTAGAATCATTCCGTGGGCTAAATTGAAAACTACTTTCCTGTCTCTGCTGCCTCTCCTTTTCCCTCCCCACATTACAGCTTCATTTTGAGTGCTATTGGCTGATGACACCAGAGTATGGTCTCACCTGGCAGAAGGTAGCTACTGTCTTGGACTGCTGATAAAATTACTGTGTGACCAAGCAATGTGTATTTTAAAACAAGTTACCTTGCACATTATTTGATCTGATTATGATTTAAAATCTAGTTTAATGCCTTACTATAATGTTGTAAATTTTAATTGTATTTATTATGTAGCTTAAAAATGTGCCTTATCTTTGTGAGGCAGCACAAAGTGCTTCCAGGCAGAATATTACAGGTACTGAAAGCCTACCAAAGCCACTTGCCAAACAGCTACATCACCTCTTTGTTCCTGACCTGTATGTAAAATGGTGCCCCCCCCAGCCTTTAGCATTTCATGAAGATACATTTGTGTGTAAGTATTCATAAGTCTTAAGTGTGAAGAACTAGCCAGAACTGAAAAAACTGCTGTTTTAGCTGTTTTCACACTTCAGTTTTCATAGCCCAGATTGTTGGGATGTATAATGATCACAGAACAAGCATTAGATTTTATAGTTTGTATATCGTTTAGGTCAGTGGATCCTTTCTTTTTATCTGCTGTACATGATGACCATATTAGCTTTTCTTGGAAATGTATACATTGCTGTCAGTGTAAGTTTGAAATTGTATTTTAGTTTACAAGAATTGTGTTCATGTTTAGTATAACAGCCATATGAAAATTTATTTTTTTTAAATGGCCCTTGTAACTAATGTTAAGCCATTATAATTCAGTTCAAACAATTGTCTGCAACAGCCTACAAGGATACTGTTGATAACGGTTGTATATTTTAAATTGAAAGAAAACCTATTCATTTTGATAATCACAACAGGCTGTATGCCAAAACTGCACAAGTACCATCTACATGATTTATTTAAACATAAGCTGCTGTTTCCCATTTTTCACATTATCCTGTCCTTGGTCACTGAAGGTGGCTATAGCAATAAGTACTGCAATAATTGGAGCAGCAAATGTACATTTTATAAAGAACAGTCCATGTAAATAGTAGGGTTTATTCTTGAGAGTTTTAAAAGATTTTTTTAAAAAAATACAGCCTGAGTAAATGGCTAGAAAAGGTCTGTTTCCAAAGTGTATAGAGATGAAACTTTTTTTTAAAATAAGTAAATCACTAATGATGTAGAGGGCAGGGTAAACTACAGATGATCTTAAAAAGCACTAATTTTAACGATACACCTTTTTTTAAACATCATCTGATTCAAAGTGAGAATGTTGTAGATTGTACATGTTCCTATATTGCTATATGCATTATAAAGTGTCTGCTTAAGCACTTTGTAAGATGAGGCATGTTTTGGAATGGTACACTACTATGCATTAACATAACATGCCCAACAGTTCTTGACTGAAAAACACTTAAGAGGGTTTCAGTCATTATGTATCAAATGCACAAAATTAAAGGTTTCTTTTTTAAGTAGGGCAGCCTGTTCCAACTCATTTGTGTACCTACACTAATTCTTTCAGGAAACTTTAATCCATTTGGTCATGTCTTGCCTAAATTCTATTGGAAGGAAAGTTTTAACAATTTCTTCATTGGCATCAGACAAACCCCAAGATGGGAAAATGAATCAGTGACTAAAGTTTCTATTAATGCCACTAAGTACTGGGAGGAAGAGAAATGTGTGTATATTGTAACCATTAATTTCTATCTCATCTCCATCTGAGCAAAAAGGGACAATGTAAGAGAGGGAGTGCTCAATTCCCCAACACCCCAATTTTACCTTCATGTCCGCAAAGGAAGGACATTTTGTAATTTATGAAGCATGTTAATTTGTTCACATTTATTCACTTCCATATGTGCAATCACAAGAAAGATACATACAGATGTCATTAACTTCCTTTAATGGCCATCAAAACATCTATGTGCCAAGGAATTACCAATACATAACATTTAAAATGTAGAAACAAACTACATTAGTTAACCTCTCACTCAAACAAATTATAAATGCAACTTGATTAGTTTTCAGCACACTAAGAAATACATATTTTAGAAATCCTTACATAATGCAACAAAGTTATGCTCAAAATAAGCACCTTAACAATTAGCCCATTGAAACAAATCACATTTTAATGTAATTTATCTTGCATTTAAATAGATTCTCCAAAAAAGTTACAGAATATCAATATCAAGCTCTAGAACTTTTAAGTTATTCCAAAGATCTCAATCTTAAACTGCACAAATAAATTCAACTTTCAAAGCTGAGCAAACTTTTCTTTGTAACCTACAATGGTCCCTGCCTGCTATGACCTCAGTTTGAATTAATCCCACAACTAAATGAGCAGTATGAAAAAAACATGGTTTGAATCCAATTAACTAAGGTAACATTTGCACTGAAAGCCTACATTAGAGGTGAGCCGCAAACTTAACTGGACTGGTTGCCTTAGGCAGAAACAGTATTTGAACATGGTCCAGATGACAAATTCTGTGAAAGCCATTCTAAACAGCAAAAGCAAATAGAACACCACACCATGAGCTTTATCTTCAGTCTCTTGGTCACCGGGGACCCAACCAGAAGACTTAAACAGATTTAACAGTAAAATTGGCTGTACATCAAATCATATTAAAAACTGATGAGATACTCAGTCCAACCTGCACTGAACAACCACTTGCATATATAATAGTTTAGCATGGCAAGTTTAAAGCTCAATTTAATATAAATGCTGAAATAAAGGATTATATGTTATGTAGACACCAAGCATTTTGCAAACCTTAATACACGTACCATATGCCAAAATCACATATTGGTAATTCAGCAAAAAAAAGTAAATATGAACCAGTCTATCTGCAGTCTTTCACAGCGCAATGTCCCCATTTTACATTATATACAAATTAATTATCCAGCAAGGTATAAATTCTACACTTGCAAATATACAAATCAACCAGCAAGTATAAATGTTCTTAAAATTCAGCTTTGGAATATATTCTGCATTTAACATGCTATAACCCTCTACTGCTACATAACCTCACTGGTTCATTGCTGGGTTCATTCATTTGAGGGTCATAAAATTGGGACTCCAAATCAACACATTTGAACCTCCGGGGGGGGGGAGGGGAGAACAAAAATTTGCTTTTTTTTTGAAAAAAAACTTGTGTGCATGAATAGGCTGACTCAGCTTACAACTGGGGGAGCTTGTCAACTGGCGTATCAAATTTGAAATCAGCAGGAAAAAGATCAGCAGCTCGTGGATAGATGAGTCGGTAGGACTGCCTGATTGTGACGTCAGCTACACCAGCAATGTCTCCAATCTCTGGGGAGGAAAGAGAGGTTAGATTCTGAACTGTATAAATTCAGCATAAAACTGTCTAAAGGGAGAGCAACATGTGCACCAAGATAGGTCTGAAAACAGTTTCCAAGAACTTTTGGTATCGGCAATAATACTTACATTTGATAAAGCACCTCACTGCGACATCTCAAAGTGCTTCACAGAATATACTGTAAAGTGAATTGACTGTATATTTTGTGAGGCAAGCACTGAATCGTCTTCCACTCATTATCCTCCAGTTATAGCAAGAATATACATTCATTGATGCAGTGTTTAATTTTCTAGTTTTAACAGCTGCCAAACATTAAAGAAAATCTACCAAGAGTATTTCAAGAGAACTCTACTATGCATGTGGATTGATTCATTTTGTGAGATTACTTGCATGTCAGACAATAGTCCCTATTTAACTATTAACCTTCAGAATGAAATGGCCAAACAAGTTATACTAAGCTTTCCATTTGATAGAGCATGGGTAATTGCTATCAAGAGATTGCTGTGTATTTTGTAAGCAAACAGAGCAACCAATTTGTACGTAGTACAAGGAGTAATTAACTCCCTTCTCTTTTGAATAGTGTCATGGGAGGTTTTAACAGCCACCTGAACAGGCAAGCTGGACCTCAGTTTAACATCTCATCCAAAAGACAACACCCCTGACAATGCAATACTAAACCAGTACAGCACTACAGTGGATTGGCCTGGATTACATGCTTAAAATCCCAATGCGAGGTTTGGAGCTCAAAGCTTTCTGACCTAGAAGCGAGAGTGTAACCAACTGAGCCAGGTTGACAAGATGCGGAAGTTCCCAATATTAAATACTATAGCAGTTGAAATTCCTGCTAGACAAATGTATTTGATATTTGTGATCTTATTGCAAACTACTCACTGTCTAGCCTCTAGTAAACTTGTTGGGAGATGACAAACAAGTCCCCTTCTTTGTCAAAGTGTTTTAAAATCATTTGTAACTAACTATTCGCCTCCATCAGATCTAATTCAATGTCATTATTGTTCCTTTGAACCAATACACTACCTTTTTGTGTCCTTTTGTCTGCTGATGCCTGAGATGCCATGTAAATAGCTGCTGCAGCCACAGAGATTGGGCTCCTGCCAGGCACCAAATCCAGTTCTACAGCTTTCCTGGCAATGTGTGTTGCACCCATCTGCACTTGTTTTGGCAATCCCAAGTTTGAACAGAACCTGGACATAAAATCTCCAGTAGTAATCAGATCCACACTGGTTTCCAAAGCCTTCAGGATTAACTTAAAGCAGCGGCCTATTTCTTTCTTTGAAATCCTGGACACTGCACAAATCTCTATAAACGTGGGGAAAGGAAAATCAATTAGGAACAAACATCACTCAACAAAGTAGATGCTAACATGTATATTGTTCTGAACAAAGATTTATGGGTAAGAGAATTCAACAGACTTAAAGTAACTGAAGTACAAGTTTACTTGATGTTTTGATCTATTATGTCCATAGTTTTACAAAAAGGCATTAGGCAACAATGCCATTTGCAGTAGGTGATCCAATTTTTTTAGATTTAAATCCAACTCCTAGTGGTCATTACAGTAATCGGTGGAATCATATGGTATTAAAGCTAGTGGACAATCATGGAGACGTTACTTTGATTTTCAGAAGGCATTTCATAAATCTGAGAAACTTTTAATCATCAAGACTTGTGGAATGAAGACAGAATATTCTGGGAAATAAAATGGAAGTGATGATAAATTGTAATTAATGACGTTTTGAGTCCCCAAAATTATTTAGAGTGGAGCATAACTATTTTTGATAATTGTCAACAAAGTTCTGCTGATGTGACATTATCACCAGCTGCCTTACCCAAGGGAAATTGATAGCTTATATTGAAAATACTACACCACCACACATGTATCATTTATGCATTGAACGTTTTCAAATGGTTTCTTTCCATACCCTCCTGGGAAATCTAGAATCATTTTTAATAATTCAATATCAGAAATACCTACTTTTGCATAAACCACGCAATCTTATTAGGCAGCTACTACCTTCAAAGAAAAATTTAGCAGTGCAGATAATAGCACCTTAATAATGTACTCTAATTTTAAATTTGAATATCTCCAAGTCAAGTTATATGGATGCGGTTGACCACTTAATTGAAACCACCCTATAATTTCAAATAGACTGCAGATTCTCTCACCTTTGAAAGTTCGTGGCACACCTTCTTGCCTACAGGCAATGTATAAACAGGCAGAAGCAATGGCATCATTACTCCTTCCCTTTAGGCTCTTTTGTTCATACACTTGCTTAAATAAATTATTTGTTCGATCCTAATATATGGAAAGAAAATTTTAATTAAATCCAGGCCATTTCATCAGTAGCTATATTAAAATTTCATGTGTTCATTATATTACAGTAAATTAATGAGGCGACACCATGACAAATCAAAGTCTGCATGAACTTACAACTATATTTCTAGGGAGATTTATTCTGTCAGACATATTGCTGATTTCCTTAAATGCATTCATCATTGCTCGGTCAGAACTGCTCATAGTCCTCCTATTTTGGTATTTGGCATTCCCAAACTCATCAAAACTTGCTGATCCAGTACCCTGCAAAAGGAAAAGAGTTTTTTTTTATACAATGCTATAATTACTTACCATTGTCTGGTTCCACAAACTTACAATGGAAAGAAACCTTCATTTCAAGCAGTCCCTATCCCAGCACAGAAATGCCCTTCTAACTAGTCTATTACAAACCCACATGGATGCTTCCATGAATGAATGCAACTTCTAACACATCAACACAACATGACCAGTAAGGAAGGGTTCTATTAAGACAGGACTTTCATGCAGCAAAAGCTGGCTGGTCAAGATTCCTCATCAGATGAGTTGCAGATTTAATCTAACCACCATGCCTTCATCTGCATAATTCTCTAAAATTACATTACATTAATTACATAAACCAGTATTAACTCGTTACGTTACTTTGAGTTGATATAAAGAGTATCATAATAAAAGATACGGAAATAGCTAGATAATTAGACATAATCATTTGGCAATTGACAATAATTTCCATTAAAACAAAATTCCACAGAACCAAGATCCACCACCTGCAGGAATAAAATGTGAAACCTATGGAATAAATTGAAAGACTATAATACTTATCATTAGAGAGGGTTCTAGTCACATAGCTAAACAAAAACAATGGCTGAAGTTAAATGTTATAATAGCAGACATGCTTGCAAAGTCTTTGACCTTTTGACAGAAAGAACTTCTGGAGTTCGTATAAAACTTATCTTTACATCACGTGTTATAAACTGTGATGGTTTAAAACAGTGACAGATAACTTCAGAAAGTTGGAACAAAACAAATGTAAGAATTGTATGTCGCCTTCCTACCTTTCCAATCATAGTTGACAAATCACCACCATTCAACAGTGGGTTCTGAGCATCACCAACTCGAGATGGGTCTTTTGCTGCTTTGTCATTGCTGAATGTTCGCCACTCTGAGCCAACATCTATAACTCTATCACCTGACAGTAAACAAAACAGTAATCAGGCAAAATAGGGTTTTAAACTAAATAATTTGCCCAGATACTAAGGGGTGCTTTAGCATCTATACAATAATTATATTGTGGAGATTCCACTGGTATGTTCGAGTATGTAGAAATCTTAAAATTCAAGCTTTAATTAAGTCATCACTACTTTGAAAAGTCAAAGACTGCTTGAGAAATTTCACTTTTGTTTTTAAGGCTTCAAAATCATGTACTCTTGAGTCTGGTTTACTTAATATGTATTCTTTGTAAGTTGCACATGCACTATGGTGTAGGTTTAATGACATTTCTTTAGTTTAAATGGTACTTTATCCTTTTTTTAAAAAAATAAGTCACAAACAACAACAACAACAAGATTCCATTTATAAAGCGCCTTTCACGTCAGGAGGACGTCCCAAGGCGCTGCACAGTTGGGTCAGGACCCGAGCAGGGGGGAAATGGTCAGGGTGAGGGGAGGGAGCGAGGAGGAGGAAGAGAGTCGAGAGGGGAGCTGAAGGCTCGGTCAAAGAGAAAGGTTTTGAGACCGGCCTTGAAGGAAGAGAGGGAGGAAGCAAGGCGAAGGCACTGGGGGATGGAGTTCCAGAGCCTGGGGGCTGAGAGGCTGAAGGCCCGACCACCGATGGTAGGGCGATTGGGGCGGGGGACGTGGAGCAGACCGGAGCCGGAGGAACGGAGGGTACGGGCAGGTAGGTAGGGGGATAGTAGGTCAGAGAGGTAGGAGGGAAAAGATAGTTTATATGAATTGCTGCCACCCCTTTTGGTACAGATTTTATTTAATTTGTTATCTACGTCAATTAAGTTGACGTGACAGCACTGCCCAACAAGTTTCAAAAAAAATACTTAAACCAATTTTAAATTGTGATAAGGCAAACAACTGGATATTTCAAGATTATGAGGATGTTAGAAGTCTATAACTAGTTTTTAAATCAGAAGCTATTTTGAGCGTTGCAAGACATTTCAAAAGTAGAACGGAATATTACACTTACACTTTCTAAAAGCACCAGTTGAAAGAAAAAAATGATTTACAAGTATCTTAAAGTTAATATAAATAATATAAAGTAGAACCCTATTATAATGGACTTAGTTATAATGCGGGTTTACTTCTAGCAGCATTGAAGTGGGAACTCAACTGCCAGCTGCATCAGCACTTAAAAACATTCTCCAGTAAGCAAAAATGGCTGACTTGTTATTGGATCACCACCATCACTTCCTGAATGCAGCACATGCCCCAGAAATCTGCCAGTTTTTCTTCCAGCTAGGAGTTTGAAGTACTGAGGGAGCTGTCCATCTTCGGTGCACATGCAGTTTATGTCAAAACTCTGACTCGCATTTCCACCCGTTATACTGCTGGTTTATATACCCTCAACTACATTGTTCTGAGACTGTACTGTAACTACCACAGCATTAGACGGATTACAGTAAGGTGGACAATTCAGGCAGCTCAGAGTTTTAAAAAGAAGCTGATTGAAAGACTCTTGATGTTCATTACTTAGCTATGAATGTCAGTAACACAATGTGCATCAGTTATGTACAAATACATTTAGCTCTACAAATTGTATCATGTAATTAGTAACAAGGATATAACAATTAATAGTCAGCATTGAGTATTGATCAGATGGACAAGAAAATAGTACTTTATTAATAATTTACTGATTAAATGATTTATTTCCCTAAAGCAGTCTGAAACTGAATGTTAACTATTCTTATCTAAGCAACTAGTGTAATCCGTGTTCATTTTTACCTACAACCAGCCCACATTCTGGGCAAATCATGTCACCAGCACGGTAATCTTCCACCAAAACGGCATCTGGGTGGTTTGGACATTGCACTCTGGGTAATGGATCCCCACTAGAAACAAATCATAAAATAAATAATTTTATGTACAAGCATGATGTGAATTTCAATATTCAATACAAATATAATGCAGCGCATCTAAAAATAAGCAAATAGTACGGATTGATCCAAATTAAGATCAACATTTTTATAAATGAATTTAACAAGTAAACTCTTGAAGAAAAATAGCACTCAGCCATTTGCACTCCTGTATGCCAACCCAATGTTGTACAGCTAAGGTTGCGCATCTGTGATCACTCCAGATAGCTTTAATTAAGTATTCCTAAGGACTGACACACTCCTTTCTTTCCAAAAGTTGAATAGTCACCATATTGAGAAACAAAGTTGCCTTCTGGTACACCAACTGTGATATGCCCAGTAAACTTGATAAACACCAAAGTGAACATTTCCAACAACTGAACGTAGCCCAATGGCCAGAAAAGAACAATTAGTGAACTCACTGTAAGTGAGATCACAGGTGAGCAAATACACACTACAACAAGTTGATCAGCTACATTTAAAATGTTACCAGGATTAAGAGCATCATTTCTGCTCCAACATAAGTGTTTGCCTTTTTAAAAATCTATTTTATCTGAAAAATTGTGAGAGAATCATAATCTTAATGATTCAACTAGCAATGCAAATAAAGGAACACCGCTCAATTTGTGTAAGAATTCAAATAGAGCATCTCACCTGCAGGTTATATTCAACTAGAGAAATACCAATCCATTCTCAAAACAAACAAACCAAAGCAATAACTTAGATTTATATAACGCATTCTTGCAGGATAGTGATGCAAGCGCGATGTGCAGGGTAGAGTAAACATTGACCAGCCATTATATTTTTAAAAAAGGGATAGTATTAAAGATATCATTGACAGGTACCCAAGAGGAGGGTACCTTGATCAATATCAGGTTTTACCAGTAGGTGGACAATCCTATAAACAGATAAGAAATTAAGGATGTTAACAGTTTTACTATGAGATGAGTTTTAGCTGATGGTTGGGGAATATTGGGAACAATGTTTGGAACAGGTTTGTCTATAAATGTTAGTGTCAATTATTCTAATATTTGTAGAAATTTGATTTGAAACATGATTTTATGTATCATTTACTTTGTTCCAGTATTTCATCAAAATGATGTATATACAGATTAAGTACAAATACATTCCATTGTGAATTTTAGAATAAAAAGAGAACACCCACTGAAGCAATATTTAAGATTTTGCAGTAGTACGATTTATGTATAACTTTGCTAATCCTTTATTATGTTTTAATCATAAAATTATTAATAACGATTTGTTATAATTGTCAGATCATGCATCAGGTTAAAAGAAAATTCAAGAAATCTGATATTAAACATGAAAATTTCTATGATGCGAACACAATGCTAAAATGAATTGAAAAGATTAATGTGGTGGCTGATATGAAAGGGAGTTGTGAAGGTTCTAAAGGTGATAGTGGGCCTATGCTGTTAGCTTGACCCACTAGAGGAAGAACTGTAAGCAATCCAGAATTCTAGGTTGCTTAAGTTGATTAAAGGGTTGACCAAAGAAAAAAAATTGCAAAGGTTCATGGAACCCGTTTTCTTGAGAAAAACTGCAGCTGTGAACCATGAAAGCATGTTTACAGAACACAAAGTTTCAACATCATTGTTGGTAAGACACTGTTGTTGGCTACAAAATTGACTTTTTCAGACTTGTTTAAAACAAACTGCTGAAATCTTAATAAAGGCGAGGAGATATTGACGATTATTAGATATTGGTATTGGATATTGTTAACAGGAGGAGACGATTGACAAAAAGATTATTTTGTGGAGCTGATGGCCAGATGTCTTTACAAGATCGATATGTCTAAAGGAAAGGCACAGAGCTGAGTTTTGGAAATGGAACTGAGTCTCAGAAATGGCATACCTAACAGTAAATAATATCACGATTCCTCATCAAAGCCACTTTTTTGGTCTGATCAATTCATTGCAGTGAACTTTACTAACTTGCCATAAGCATTAATTTGATTTGATGAAACGTATAACTTTGATATGCAATACATAACTAATTTGTATTAATAAATACCAATTGATTGAAGAATTTGTGTAGGTCCTTACTTCACTGCGGGGACACAAATATATTTAACCGTTACAGTGTCTCGGGAGTGCTAAAAAGCAATTTCATTTACCTGGCTAAAATAATGTGACTCCCCAGCCCCGGTTTAAATCCTACTACAAACATCATAGCAAGACACATTATTCGGTTAATATAATGCTCCGAACATTTCCTTCTTAAGAGGTTGGTAAACCTAAAACCATTGCATCATATTGGTGTCTTACTGTACTCCTTGAAGCACAGGAAGATCACATCTCTCTGTAATGCAATAACGTAAATAACTATAAAAGTAGGAGGATTGCTATAACATTTCTATCGTCTTCCCTACCACCTAAATATTCAACATTTATGGCCAATTCCTATATTCTATGAAAATTACCTTGAATTCAATGCATCTCATTTAAATAAATAGCTAGAAGGCTGTCATTTTAAAATTTGATCTTTCAAAGGCATTTCTAGAGGTTAAAAAACACCTCAGGATGACGGTATAGATTTCCAAAAACTTAAGAGAAGAAAATAATCTTATTGGTGCACAATAACAAATACAAATGACAAGAAAAAGCATTAACAGTACCACCTGCTGGTAAATGTAGGATATTATTTAAGAGTGTGTATAAGGTGGTGCAACCTTATACACAGCACAAATATTCCAGATAAAATAGATGCTATTCGTGACCAAACTGTTTTTTGTTCGTAAATAAATAGTTTTGCAAGTAGCTATCTGCTTGCACACTATTAGGAAAGAATCTGAGGAGTGAAAATGCTTTAGAAGTTCTGTGTTACTGAGGAAGCAAATTAACATCGAAGATTAAAGTAACCAAGAAAGGTAATGCAATTTTTGGCCTTTCTTAAAGTAAAGATTTTTGTAAAAAAAATTGTTAAACGCTGCCTAGCCACAATGAACTCTAAAGGATACAAAAATTACTTCAAGATTTTTTTAAAATCTCAGAATTGCCATACTTCCTTTCAAATATGTGATCATCTGTAGACACGGAATATGCCTATTTGAAAGTGTATTTCTCTTGAGAAAATACAGTGGCACTCTTAAAAGTTTGATTTAATACCAAATAAACCATATTGGGGAAGGGGAGTCCAGAGATGACACAAATATCTAGTCAGACAGCATTTCAGCAAAAAAGGATTGATATATTTAAAAAGTGGACTTCTAAGAAAGCCAAAGATTGGTTTTCCTTGACTGCATTTCTAACATGCAACAAAATGACAATGTTTTATCACAGTATATGGGTACAGTATATCTTATAGGAACATATATAAATCTTGTTTTAGACCATTTGTACAGTGCTGCAATGTGCCCACTCCCCCCCAAAAAAAAAACAGATTAGCAAATTTAGTTAAGTCATCGTGGTGCCAAGTCATCCCCAGAGCACCACTCGCAATGCCTCAGTGCTGAATTAAGAGTAGCGTAGACAGGTCGAAACACACACTTTTATAAGCATGTCTGCACTCTCAACAGACTTTTAAACGTCTGGTGCAACCTACATTCAAAAAAAAACCTACAATCGATCAATACCCGTCTTTAAAGAGTCGTGGGGGGGGGGGGTTCTTTTGTTAAAAAAAATCTGTATATCAGATTGAAAAATGAATCCCAAATCCTTGCATTGGGGGGTGAGGGAGTGGGGGGATGGGATGGGGGGGGGGGGGTACTAACTGGTGAGATCACAATTCAGTGACGGCCCACCTGGCTCCCGGGGGCCAGACGTGGCCCCCCGCTCACTTTTACCCTCTCAACTAAACTCGATTCGTTCAAATCTATGCCTCTCCCCACCACCCCCACCACCCACCGCCATCGAGAAGAAAACACACACACACACAATAATGAATGAACGACCACATCGACTCTATAAAGCAAATGCATTACTATATTAAACGAAAAAAAAACAACACACACACACACACACACACACAGACACACGGGTGCCTCAGCCCTGCCACGCATCCGTGCACTCCGACCACATCCTTTGATGGACAGGGGACGCTTCCGCGGGGCCCTTAAAAACTACACCATTTTGCTTCGGGCCTCGGGAGCCCGACTCTGCCGGTTCTCCAGCGAAGCGTAGACCTGATGTGTTTGAGGGGCCCTCACACTTGGGAGCGTTATTTTTTTTTGAGGGGGGAAGCAGTCAAACCGACGACTGCCTGAGAGAGAGAGAGAGAGAGAGAGGAGAGAGAGAGAAAAGAGCTGTGCAGTCGCCGCCACGGGATGGACTGAACCTGAACTGTACAGCTCCAGGAAAAGGAACGGGCGGTGGGGTTCACACGGCTCGGAGATGATGGCGACCGGGTTCTCCCGCCCCTACGCACTCTGGAGGCCGCTCTGGGGAGGGGGTGAGGTGCCTTTTCCTCCCGTTACCCCCCCCCCTTCAGACGTCGCGCTCTCTCCCCATTTTACTGCGCGTCAGACAATGCGAGAGAGAGAGAGAAAAACACACGACGGTTTCCCCCCCTCCTCCCCGCACACTCCCCGCTTGGGGCGTCTATCCGCCGGTCACTACCGCCCCGACGCTCTCTCGCGCACACGGGCCAGCGAGCGGCAGCGAACCCGCCACGGCTGCTCGCCAACCGCGGGGCGGGCGGGGCGGGGCGGCCCCGGTGCCGCCGACTCTGCCTCACCGACTAGACGACGCCATGTTGCCCGCAGAAAGCCAGTGACGGTGAAGGCCCCGCCCTCATTTTTTTTAAAACCCGCTGCGCCTCACGTGACTCCGGGGTGTGCGCGCGGGGGGGGGGGGGAGAGGGGGAGAGTCCGTTGGACGGCGAGTCCGCGGCGCCAAACCAGCGTCGCGCGACGCTGTGTCACCTGGAGCGGCCCGTGGACCGAGAGGGAGGGGGAAGGGGAGGGGGAGAGGGAGAGAGGGGTCAACAAAAGTTGAGCTTCATTTTCTTCAAGTAATATTTTGATTTTATATCTAATGTGTGTATAGAAGACGGTGGTCGCAGCAAATGGCCAGAGATGTAAAATGATCTTATATTAAATAACCCTTATCGATGCCCCTCCCCCTCTCCCCCCTCTCCCCCCCCCCCACACCCTCCAATGAAACGACTCTCTCGTCCCTCCAGTTTAGCCTTTTTAGTTTAGTCAAAAGCTTTTCGCGGCGCTTCTGGGGTTTGGGCTCCAAAAGCCGATCTGTGTTTTAGTGTTTGTGTCTATTTACTATGTTCAGTGGATGATTCTGAGTTTGGTCCTTCTCCATTCTTCTATATGTGTGTTATAGATATATATCATATATATATATCTTTTATATATCTTTTTATATATCTATCTTTTATATATCTTTTTATATATCTATCTTATATATCTTTATATATCTATCTTTTATATATATATATCTTTTATATATTCATATATATATATCTTTTATATATCTTTTTATATATATATTATATATATATATATACAGGTGATGAGGTGTTTCCCACTATGCTTCTTCCTATTCCCCATACTCCCCAACTTGCCTGGGGTTTTTTTTTGTTACCAGACCTCATTTTAGGGTTTCATCAAGTTGTGGGTGGGTGGGTGGGAAGGGGGTGATATGAAATAATCTGATAAGATTTTTCGTACAGTCAAAGAGAGAGAGAAAAATAAAAGTGCTGTTTTTGTCTTTCAGGTTCCTTAATTGAAAATGCAGGTTGTACTACACATCAGCAGCATCTGAGGTCTGAAGAGCCTGAAAATACTAAAGATCCATCAGCTTTCATGTTCTTCATGTTTGATGTTACTTTTAATGGCAGGTGCTTATATTTGGTGGGGTGGAGAAGTTAGTTAGAATTATGTCAGACTTTAGACTTTTGATTCTGGGGTCCGCTTCCAACATTGCTTAGGTTTTAAAATAGTTTTAACTAGGTGACTGCAGTGTAAGCAACCCAACAATACCGGGTTGCTTGAGTTGACCGAAGGAAAATCGCGGAGACTCATGGATTTGTTTGCTTCAGGAAAGCTGCAGGTGCATGAAGGCCAAGGACGGTGAAAGAATGTTTACGGAACAAAGTTTTCTTCAACATTATCGTGGGCAGACAAAGACTTGTTTGAAACAAGCTATTGGAATTTTGATAAAGTTTGTCCTTGGTTTGCAGCTGGTGTTTCCAACACCACATTGAACAGACTGGGGTACGTGACCAAAAATGTATAAAGGAACAGAGACTTTTGGCTTATATCGGACTAGGGAGAATCCTTGTTAATCTTTAATTACATTTTCCTACTTAAAAGTAAATTTGTCAGTCACATTTCTCCATAGGGTCACACATTTAAATAACCTTTACAGCAGTTAGAAATCAATCTCTACAGTGTCCAACCCAACACAATAGATCCTGGAACTATCTGCCAAGACCCATCCAGACTCTTCTACGCCAAACTAAACAAATTAGCATTCCTTGAGGTAAAACCATTTTAAAAATGTCCCAACCCATTCTTGTGGACAGAAATAACACATTATCCACAATCTCCCAGTATCCACAATCTTATCAGATATGCTAAAGACAACTCCAGCTGATAGTCGCAAAGATATATAAGAGGCAAGGATTACAAGCCCAGTAGTCTATAAGGTGAAGAGAAAAGAAAGCACTCAAGATGGTAGCAGACAAAAAAACAATGTTTCGAGGCAATTGGGAGTTCAGTCGGAGGGGAGCAGGAGGTTGAAGCTGTGTTTGGTGAGTAGGGAGTGAGGCATGTTGAAAGGTGAACAGAACATCCACCTACTGGAGCATAATAATAATAACCCTTACATTCGAATATAGTGCCTTATGTCTTCTAGACATCTCAAAGTGCTTCACAGAATATACTCTAAAGTAAATTGACTGTTTTGTGGGCGAACATATCAGATAATCAACGGTTCACTGTGTTGATGTGTTGTTGATCCACTTGGGTGCGGATCCTTAACTGTCTAGCACCTTGGGATGTCCTCCTGACGTGAAAGATGCTGTACAAATGTAATTTGTTCTTGTGAATGTACAGTGAAACTCTGATAACTCATTCCTGGGATAAGTTCTCAACTCCACATAACTTATCATTCATTCAATATCCCAGCTATTTCCTGTAAGAAACTTTAGTTCTGATCCTCTGATAACTGGTCACTCTGGGTAGTGCATAATTTGTTATTCAGTTTCTTACATTTGTGTATGAGCTAAATGTTTTAAAGACTTATGCAAGCATTTTGAATTTAAAACAATTAAAGAAATTAAGAAACTTCTGTCCCACACCGATTCAAGTACCCACGTGTTTGATGGGAGATAACAATATCTTATGTTATATTCAGTTAAATATCTTATGCCCTTTTATTGGGTAATTCAAATTAGTGTTTTCATTGTCTTAACGCACCAAACATGCATATTGCATGTTAATATGTTTCGACCGCGCCTTCAGTCACCCTCTTAGGCCTACCCTCCACCCCTGCTCAGGTCAAAATCCCTGATTGACCAGTGCCTTGGAAAGTTTTCCCGATGTGAAAGGTGCTATACAAATGTAATTTGTTGTTGTATTAGTAGCCATGCTAATTATTCCATAAAACACCGCTAGAGTGGCCAATATACAGTATGGCTAATAGCAACGATATTTTGGATAACTAGGTAACTCTGATAAGTTGTCATTTGAGCTATTTCCCTTGAGGTATTGAATTTCACTGTATATTCAGTCTCATCCTGAAAACTACTTGTGGTTTAATGAAGAAAATTCAATGTACTCTATATATTTGATATAAGAAACTCTGCTTCTTCAAAGATCAGTAATATTGTCTAGATTTAATGAAGCTATGTCTTCAGCTTCCAGTTCTTGAAAATAGTCTCTGCTGATTCCAGGGTACTATCTTTCTGTAAAAGAGTTGGAATTTCTGTATAAGTTTCTGTATAAATTGGAAGATTAACACTTATTATTTTTTAAAAGTTAATGATATTTTGTGAAGTCTATGTAACAAATTGCAAGTTGCATTTTAGCAAGCCAATAGACTGACCTTGATAAAGCAGAACCGAATGTATTTCTCAAAATGTCTCTTAGACGGATCACTGACAAATGCAGTCATGGGTATAGCTGCCAGTCGCTGGAAGAGAATGTATATTCTGAGTGTACCACACATGGATAGAAACAAATTAGCTACTTTTCTTCATTTAATAATATTATTGTCATATATTTGTATTATGATTACCACATTGATTTTTCTTTGAGTTTATCGGTTTTCTTTGGTCTGAACTGTAACATGCAAATATGAAAACTATTTTGCACTACAACAAGAAATGAAACTTACTTTGTTTTGAATCATCCACTTCACAAATCTGTAATCGTAGGGCTGATTCGCTTCCGAGGGATCTTGTGAGAGATCTTGATCTAGAGGGAATGCGAAAGTACATTTTCACTTCACAATCACAAATTAGAAAACTAAAACTGCAGGAGTTTTTTTGGAGGACGTTGGAAATCTGGTTTCACATTCTACAAAAATTTAAATTAGAATACTCGTTTGATCCCTTCCCCCCCTCACATTTTCTCCCCCATACTCTTCCTGTGCTGAAGGCGGTGACTCATACTGCAAATACAGATCAAATAAGCACTGGTCCCTCTCCAACACTGGCAGCCCTCCAATATAATATACAATCAAGCAGTTATTCTTCACATAGAAGCCTGGAGAGCAAATGTCGATAAGCTTTTTCACCACATGGGGGCCATCACATCTAAACCCAATCCTGTCTGTATCCCACATTTACCACTTGCTAGAAAATGATCAGTGGCAGGAAGTAAAACTATTCTTTTTCTTCCCCTGTTTCATAGCTCGAAGATTCAGAGACTAACTATAGAGCACCGCAACTACCCTGATTCAGCTTGGGTAACTCAGCAGAGATGAGATATCAGACCTGGGATCTTCCTAGTAGGTACGGCTGTTCTTTAGATGTCTAACCGTATAGATGTCTGTTCTTGATCCCCTCCTCTTCAACTCCTATGGGCTCCCTCCTGGTGACATTATCTGCAGACATGGGATTAACTTCCACATGTACGCAGATGACACCCAACTGTACCTCTCTGCCACCACCCTCGACTCCAGGACCACTGCTGGGCTGACAGAATGTCTGTCAGAGATCAATTCCTGGATGAGAGCTAACTTTCTTCAGTTGAAAGTCCTGATTGGCTCCTGTCAGCGCCTCCTCACCTCAGGCGCTGATAGCATCACCATCCATGGATGCCCATTCCACCTTAATAAGCCAGTCGGGAACCTTGGTGCCTTGTTTGACCCTCAACTATCCTTTCTACCCCACATCCATGCCATGACCCACTCTATCTTCCCCCACCTTCACAACATTGCCTGGCTCTGCCACTGTCTCACACCGCAGGCCGCCAAAACCCTCATACACGCATTCATAACATTCGAGGCTTGACTATGCAAACTCCTTGCTTATTGGCCTCTCCAACGCTTCCCTCCATAGGCTGCAGATCATCCAGAAATCTGCAACCCGTGGCCTCTCCTGCACCAGGCTCCGTGACCTTATCACCCCCATCCTCACCCGACTCCACTGGCTTCCCATCACTCAGAGGATACAGTTCAAGATCCTGGTCCTCACCTTCAAAGCCCTCCGTGGCTTTGCTCCACCCTACCTCTGCAACCTCCTAACCCCCTACCATCCTCCCTGCTTCCTCTACTCAGCAGGCTCCTGCCTGTTCCACGTTCCCCCACCTCACCCGCCCCACTATTGGGGGGCGGGCCTTCTGCCACTCTTGCCCCTACCCTCTGGACTGCTATTTGTATTTGTGTCTTGCAGTTCTAGACAAGTGGCTTAGTACCAGTATTTGTATTTGGAAATCCCACTACCAATACTTATGAAGAATTTAACAGCACTACCAGACCAACATGCATGATCTGGACAACTTTTAAACTCAAAATTGTGGGTTCGCTTACATTGAAGTAAATATTTCATTTTGGGTATAAAGGCAGTCTCACATATGACCAGACCAATCCAATTATCCATTCATAACAAAATTCTCTGTTGGCTAATATATCACTATACAAAGGACATATTTTAATTCAAGTAATGTGTCCATGCTGGTGCCAACACAAAGTCTAAACATATGATCAAACATTGACATTGCGTTATTAATGTTGTATATAATCTGGTAAGGGAGAAAGAAGTAAAAGTAAATACTTAGAACAGAAATATCAGCAATCATGAAGAATCCTCCTTCAGGGATAACTGGATTCATTCCCGCTACTTGGAGAAACTTTGCCATACGATCTCGTTTGACTTCTAGCTCACGGGGTAGGGAATAAAAATAGCATTCTTGATCATGCAAACGGCCGAGCTCCTTGAGAATACCTTGAGCAACAGCTTCCTGCATAATAGAATAGCAATATTACTTCAATGCTGAATGATCTTCATGGGTTTAAAAATAAACCCATGTTTCTTGATGAAAACGTGTACCTAACCATGCAATGTTATCGCAGATTATATAACTGAAAGCAAACACGATGCAAACATAGAGAATAAGCTGAGCAAAACAGTGCAATTTCTTGTTGCAGAAGAATACAGAGGCTGTTCCTATAGGTATGTGGGTGATAAGCCACAAATTTTTAACACTATTTACGAAAAAGTTCTTTACTCACAAAATAGAATCCTTGCATTTTTTTATAATAATCCTTGCATTTGATATCGTGCTTAATCACGTCTTCTGAGACGTCTGCCCAGTATGAAACTGATCTTAAGAAAAAGATACTTTTGCAGCTTTGATCTCTGGTCTGCATTCCTTATTCTTCGACTGCAGATTAATTCCTGGGTTTGTAACAGCAGCAATACACAGGATTTGTTTAAAAAATATATAATTTTGAAAAGGTATTCAATATAATATTGCATGTACAATTTTTAATATATTGATAGCAGGTAATGAATGGTTAATCTATCAACAGCCAACTTGTTGCTGACAGATACTTCTAAAGCAAGCATCATATGAATGGTTACATAGTCCCACCTGTATAGGAGTAGGGCAAGTATAAAGGGAGTTCTGTTGAACAGTCTGAAGATGTTTTATCAGATTTTCTGGACCAATTGACCAACCAAGCTGCAAAGAAAAGATCACACAAAGGGTTACACAAGTATAAGTCAATTTAGAAATACAAGTTGCATTTTATTTTATCATCTGTAAAAACTGATCATGAAATTTACTAACAGGCTTTTATGAACCGTTAGTACGGTATGCAAGTTACACACCAGTACAAAAGCATTGATAATTTTAGCCTTCAAGTGTTAATGAGACCATGTTTGTGGCATATGACAGAGTTTCGGACCCGAGCTGGGGGTCGGGGTGGGGGAGGGTAGAGGGCAGAGGGGGGGGGAAGCAGGGAGATAAAGGATTGCCCATTCTTGGAATTATAATTAGCACAAAGAAAACGTACAATTAAAACAGGTAAAATGGCCTTCTGCACCTCACTCGCACATCCAAATGGAGCACTCATGAACAGCATTTTAAAAAAGTCTCAAAAGAAAATCACCAATGGAAAAGAGGTATCAAAAGATCTCTACTACCTTTCATTCACAATAAGAGTGGTGGGAAAAAAATAATACAAATGAATGAAAGGTTATCTTCTGAGGTTGGAGTTTAAGGGATATTATTGGTTGAATGGGTAAATCCTTGCATATAATCTTCCTAGATTGTTCAATATTGTCATAATACGCCCAATATTGATAAAAGATGTCAATAAGATAGTATGGCACTTTTGTTTTCCTTATACCGATGTTCTACACTTTGATAAACATCATAATTTACCAAACATACCTTCCAGCCAGTCACACTAAATGTTTTTCCAGCACTTCCTATGGTCACTGTCCTTTCCCACATTCCGGGCAAAGTGGCTGAGCGGAAGAGCAAGAAAACACACAAGAAAGGATTCAGATGCATAAATGTGCTACTTCTTTTATATTAGTTATCAGCAAGTTATCAACAGCTAAATACTATGTGACAATACACATCAAGAGTAGAATCCTTCATAAATACAGTCAGTAGACTTTACAATAAATCCTGTGAAGTGCTTTGAGACGTTATGATAATATGTCACTAGATCAAATCCAAGAATCATCATTATGTCCTAAAATAATATGAGTGATTTTTTTTTGACAAGGCACTAAGTACTAGTTATAGGTCCTTGTTTTCCCAAAGACCTTTCAATCTACTGTCTTTATAAGTCACAAACTATTTGGGGTCACTATAGCACTGAGTAAGCTGCACTAGGAAACTTAAATACCCAAAGTTTTAAATATTACTTAAAATTTAGAGCAAGAATAAACAATTAAAAATACAAACTGCAGGCTTTTACGTATTCCAGAAAACTCGCAACAAATACACCTCCAAGAAAATTGGCTCAGGTTCTTCATAAATAGTTGCAAGCTAATAAAGAGGATTGAGAGCATGTTACCAGCCAGCCTGGAAGTCAGTAAATAATCTAAGGAAACCAGACAGACTAGGAAGAGGGAGAGAGAAGGGATTTCATATCCTTAATAATAATAGGAAGCCTACAGGAGTTCCTCTATAACATGATGCCTTTGTGCAAAAATGCATGTGGATAACAAACCCATCCATAATTAAACTGAGAGAGGATAGGCATCACTCCTAGTTTTGGTTGGTTGCAGATAATCACTCAAAAATATCTGAATATGTTTACTGTTTTTCTAGCCTTGAAATACAATCTAGATCTCTACAATAAGTTACTTCTTGACTAGCAAAAAACATGGAATGCATCTTCTCTCTGGTAGATTATTTTTGTGCGATTGTCTATTCACGTCCTCCCGACGTGAAAGGCACTAAACAAATGTAATCTTGTTGTTGTTAATGTGATTTACAAATAAATTAACCTCCTTGGAGCTTTGTTCCCTCCAGGATTACTTTCACAAGACGTTAGTAAAATATATGGATTTTCTTCCTCCCATCTCTCCCCTGTAAAGTATTACTTTCAATATTCTGCACAAGCCAATTTTTGTTCCTTAACATTATTTTTAATTCATCATTACCTATTTTTATGTGTTGATGTCCAGTGTAAATTAACCATTCATACACCTCATCACTGAAGCAGAGAGCATCATGCTTAATGCACAGATCTGCAATCACCTCCAGTTCTTCCATTTTAAATATCTAAAAGAATGGTCCACAATGCATTAGACTTTGTTATTAAGAGATTTTCAACAAAACATATAGTTGATGCACATCTTAAAAAAATATTATATAATACCCCCACAAAGACTTAAAGGAGCAAGCTAAACACAAGATTGTACACCCAAATAGCAAGGTCATCTCCTTCAATTGACAACTTATTGCAGATTCTATAGATGGGTTATTAAAATGAGAGGAAATTTCCTATTACATATCATATTAATAAAGGTTTCTGCAATAAAATAAATTTAGACCTGAAATTCTTACCTTGCCTAAAGGATTATTGGGTGTATTAAGTATTATTGCCTTAGTCCGAGAATTAAATTTGCTCGCAAGTTCATCAGGGTCAAGGGCCCAATCTCCACTGGATATTGCATGTCCAACTTCTTCTTTTAGTGACTTCTAAAAAAAACAGCATTGTTGTAACACGAAACACATCTTCAATATAACAGATTGCTAACATGTACAATAAAGAAATTAAAAACTACCGAAAGCTCCTGAACAAAAGCTACTAATGCACATGGCAGAGTAATTAGAAAAAAATCATCTCTTTCAGCCTTAAACAATAATGATGCAGAGTGGCTTGGAGTAGTTACTAATTATCCTAACAGATACCTTGTATTTATATAAGTGTAGAAAGGGAAAATGTGGAAGGTTTAATTTTTTTTGGTTTACTGTGTTCTGCCATTGAGTTCTGTAGTGTGACACTGATAGATTGACTGCAAAAGAATGGGACTTTGGTTCTTTGCTCTATGTGCTGTTGCCTTTTCAGTGTCAGTGCTTCGGACACTGATCTTGCTTTGTTTTAGACTGAATCAGGTTCCTTGGGAAAGTTAATGTACTCAGATATGATCTTACAGATTTCCACACAATGTTGTATTACAAGAGAGAGCTGCATTCCGGATGTATCCACGTAATATATTTCCTTTCTCATTCACAATTATCTAGGAGGCACCAATCAAACAAGAAACACCAAAGCGAAAGAAGGGGAAATTCAAAGACAAGTTCTAACCCACTATTAATCTCACTATAAAACCTACCAACATCTCCAAATGATGGCAATGCAATACATAGCATTCAGAGGAAAGGGAGTTCAGATACAGGAGGAAAAAAATAATTTAAAATGAAGATGGTTAGTGAAATATAAGTTTTACAAAAGATTTAATTAACTCCAAGACTAATATTTAACTGTATTTGTATATATAAATATTCAAAGCATTAGTCTTTTCTATGCCTTGAAATATTTAGAATAAAATTAAAACAAGTCTTTTGTATGCCTTGAAATACATAGAATACAATTAAATTGCATGTCTGTGAAAACCGACTCTTGGTATATTACGCCATCATAAAATAGTAAAATATGGTGTTAAATGGTTTTGTTCAATCGAGCACTCACAAGCTTTAACTGGATGAAGACCGGAATCCCTCCTGCCATCCTAACCATTGGCTCATAACAATCAAAGAATGGCTCAATGATTATCACCTAAATTAAAAAGTGAAAAATATATTTTAACATAATTAAATCCAGTTCATAAAAATAAAATCTAAAAACAACATATTGGCACAGTATTATGATCTGGGTTCAATCCCAGAGCTGCCAGGTACTAAACTGACATCCCTAATCTCTGGAAATTCTTATAAAGTTATACTAAATATAGACTTCAAATTAAAATTCACCAGTCTCAAATCTCATTCCATTGGGGAAGATAGCTCCAATAAACCTCTTTGAATAGATGATGATATTATAATAAATACTTTTTTATATAGTAATATAGCACCTTTCACATAAAATAAACATTCCAAAGCACTTTTAAAATTATAATTGGTTAGAAATGAAAGTGAATGTTAAATAGGCAACTAATCTGCACCAGGAACTTCCCGTAAACAATGAGATGAGCAGCCAATTCATTTGAATTTTGGGCTAACTTTACTATTGGGAAATCTCATTCTGACAGTAGACACGAGTCACTTTGAGTAGGGAAAAATCCTACTGATTTTCATTTAGGATTTTGATATTTTAATAAAGGCAATATAGTAGCTACAGTGTTTGAAAGTACCTGATGGTGGCACTACATGCAAACAAACTCTTCAATTTCACAGATCAGTCATCTCTTAACTTCACTGTAACATATTCAAGTACAGGAACATGAAAAAAAGTTTATTTTACCTCATCTCCCTCATCGACCAGACCTTGTATGGAACTAAACAGAGAACCATATCCTCCGATAGTTACGAGGCATTCTTTATATGGATCAATTGGATGCCTGTATATATTTCCATAAAGCTCAGCAAGTCCCTTCACTAATGGAGGGTGACCCTTGTGTGAAAAGACAAAATACATTTTCAAATGAATAAAATGAAATTCAGTCAGTGAAAGATGCAATATCAATTACAGTATTATTTGTTTTGTAAAAATCAGCTTTTTAAAGCCCTATGGAGTATTATAGAACCTATCTGTGTACCTGACCTACCAAATTACAGTTTAGGGCAACCCTGTTATAACCCTGTCACAAATCCCCAAATATTATGACACCACATTACAATAGGGGTGTCGGAGAAAAAAAAGGCTATTTATTCTTCCCATTTCTGGCTCGTCGGGTCACAGATACCATCAATTTCTTGCTCATAATACAAAACATAACATCAGTACGACCTGATGACTCAGAGCTTTTTTAGGGACCCAGTTAGTCAGGGTCAGAAGTTAGGTGTTCTGTACCCAGCAAACTATAAGCAAATCCGCACTTCACCAAGGTCGCAGTGTATAATTGCAACCTGTGATTTTACTGGATCGAAACCAAATTGTCATCAAGATCATTCTTACTTGTCACCCAGCTCCCCCTCCTCTGCCAACTACTAGCCGACATCATCAACCAATCCCTCTCCGGATCAGTCCCTGCCTCCCTCAAAATGGCTGTCATCACCTCCCTCTTGAAAAAATCCTCCCGAGATCCCTCAAACCCCAGTCACTACCGTCCCATTTCTAACCTGCCCTTCCTCTCAAAAGTTCTAGAACGCATCGTTGCAAACCAACTTTGCACACACCTCTCCTCCCACTCCCTTTTCGAACCCCTCCAGTCCGGTTTCCGCCCTGCCCACAGTACAGAGACTGCACTTATGAAAGTCACAAACGACATCCTCTCTATCTGTGACCAGGGCTCGCTCTGCCTCCTTGTCCTCCTGGACCTCTCCGCCTCGTTCGACACAGTCGATCACGCCATCCTCCTCCACCGCCTTTCCTCCGTCATCCACCTCAGTGGGACCGCACTCGCCTGGTTCGAGTCCTACCTCACAAACCACTAGTAGTACATCTGCACAAACGGCTTCTCCTCCCGCTCTCACCCAGTTACCTGCGGGTACCCCAAGGATCCATCCTTGGCCCCCTCCTCTTTCTGATTTACATCTTCCCTTTTGAGGATGTCATCCGTAGACATGGGGTACATTTCCACATGTATGCAGATGACACCCAACTCTATTTTTCCACCTCTCTTTGTGACCCCAGTCCCCTGATGTTCTGTCAGCCTGCCTGTCAGATCTCAGGGGCTGGATGAGCACAAACTTCCTTCAGCTGAACTTTGACAAGACGGAAGCCAATTCTTTGGCTCTCGTCAACATCTAAAATCTCACGGCTCTCACCTCCTCCATCTACCAGACCTCCCCCTAAAACTCTCCAAACCCCTACGCAACCTAGGCGTCAGGTTCAACCCCCAATTATCTTTCCTCCCCCACCAGCACCGCCTTCTACCACCTCTGACGCATCGTCCGTCTCCATCAATACCTCTCTCCAAATGCCGCTGAAACCCTGGTCCATGCCTTTGTCACCTCTCGGCTGGACTACTCTAACGCCCTCCTCGCCGGTCTCCCCTCCACTACCATCCATAAAATCCAAATCATTCAAAACTCTGCTGCCCGCATTCTCACCCACATGAAACTCCACTCCCCGATCACCCCAGTCCTTGCCAGACTGCACTGGCTCCCTGTCCCAGAGAGGATTGATTTCAAGATCCTCACCCTTGTATTCAAGTCCCTCCACTCCTCTGCACCCCCCCTACCTCTCTGACCTCCTCTCTCCTCAAAACAGTACCGATTGTCTTCATTCCTCCGGGTCTGGCCTCCTCCTCGTCCCCCGAGTCCTCCACTCCACCCTCGGCGGCCGTGCCTTCAGCCACTATGCCCCGAGGCTATGGAATTCCCTTCCTCACTCCCTTCGTCTCGCTCCCTCTCTTCCCATTTTCAGGTCTCTGCTGAAATCTTTCTTTTCGACCGCACCTTTGGTCACCTTCCTCCCCCTCCCCCTGGCTCGGCCCCGGGACCCGTTACTGTAAAGCGCTCTGAGACGCCGTCCAGCGTGGAGGGCGCTATATAAATCCAAGTTGTTGTTGTTGTATTTTTAACAATAGAAATTAGTAGTTTAACAAACATGCAGTGATTTTGAAAGGATAATTAATGACAATGTTTGTCTCTTTGATTTGCAACTCTCTCAAGATCATACAAAGACCCGCATCTAAGCACAATAGTGTAGAGACAGAACAATTACAAAAGAAGCTATGGATCCCAGCAACCAAGCCATGAGCAAATGTTTGAAGAATGCCAAATGTGATACATGGCGGATATATGAAAAATTGGGAACTTAAAAAGTGCGTTATCTACCTGTCTTTATTTCGTCTCCTAATCAAGATGTATCAAAGTTACTTCCAAGGTAATACCTTTTTAATAGGAGAACGTGTGGCATTTGAAACAAAGCTGGTATACATACCTCCACTGTCTGGCACTGTTGTACAGTGGAGTGCAAGTATCAATGCTTCAGAGAAGATTTCCAATGAACCATACTTTAGAATAGTTTTTGTAGTGATTATTACAGCATGTGGAATGTTAATTCTGCCAGAGAGAATCACTTGCTGTTAATAATATGCAATACACAACCCAAGACCCATTTTTCAGTGGTTAAAACATAAACCAAACTTTTACTTCTAAGTTTATATCCGAAAATGAGTGTTTTGATACTTCAGTTATATCTGGATTGCAGTGAGATTTCACACAACTGAACAGAGCAGCACTTATGATATTCAGTGTTGGTGCCAGATAGTGCTTGGATCTGTATTGGAAATAGTGATTCCTCTCACTGTTCTAATGGGTTGAAAGGTATAAAAAAAATTCACATTGAATTCAAATGCTTCCCTGAAAGGAAGGAAAGAACGAAAGTAAAACACATTTTTAGAGATCCATCAATGAATGTTAGCAGCTATTGTGATGTTACCAGAAACACATGTCATCAAATACTCAGATGCATTTCAAGGGCAGTTGGCTCATGTACAGGAAAGAGAGACTAGAATAACTTACAAAACCTCTTGTATACTGGTTTATCAGAAAATTTTCTCCAAGGGCAGCATTAGCCAGGGCTTCTCTTATGTAACTTGGAGGTGGCATGTCTGAAAAACCCTGACCAAGGTTGACCACCCCAGGTTCGGCAGCGAGCTTGGTAAATTCAATCCTAAAAAATGCATATTCTTTAGTATCTTCATCTCAAATTTCATCAGTAAGAATTGAACAAGAAATATTCAGTTTTTGCTATCTATTCAATTGTACAGTTTCCTCATATAGCTCAAATTTCTCATAGATTCCGCATGATAAACAGCATTTATGAATGTGCGTTTTGTATAACTAAAATATTTAAAAAGAAAAGAGAACTTTAGTAAACATTTGCTAGTAGCATTGCAAAAATAACTGAACAGTTTTTATAATGACTATTACTTGTAATAATAGCTGAAGCAGTCAAGAAATTGCATTTCACTGTCACTTTTCTGATTGCACTTGTTAAAATGTAACAAAGATTTTGTAAAATAAATAAACTGGGAGTAGGTAACAATCAAAAGGTTCTTTGTGGTGAATTCAAAAAGTCCCAGGAAACCACAGCAAACAATGTAGGCAACTCATTACAAGATCAGAGAAATTATTAATATATTTGTTGTTAGTCTTAAGAATTTGCTAACATATTAAAACAGCTATTTAGTATCAGCTGGGTTTGAGATCATATGGATTTCTATGTTATTTAAATTAACTAACCAATTTGCTCAGGCTGACACATTGTGTATATATATATATGTGTGTGTGTATATGTATGCAGCAAAATATCAAACACCTTCAAACTTTACTCACCATACATTTTTATCTAGTCCTTCAATCCTTCTTGCATTTTTATGTCTGGATGAAATCATCTGTAAATTGAAATAAATAATTTGCGTCATTATTTAAGTAATATGTCAGAAAACATTACTTTCACCCAAAATGTATACATACTTTTTTAAAAAATGTATGATTGTTGACAATTGGAGGTTTACAAAACAGAAATGCCTGCATGTAAAACATGATGGGACATGGAACATTTTTTTGGTCTGGATTCAAGCATAGAATTCCAGGTATTCCCAGGGTAGGACAAACACCCAAGTAACAGCACAACCTATGCTTCTCATAGAGTCGATGCTAAGATGTCTAAATAGTGCCAGAAACAGACTAGAACTGACTTTCATCTCATAGAATACTATTAGAGATGCTCTTTAAAGATGAAACATTTTATGGTCAGATAGCAAAATCAAAATATCATGGATATGTTAAATATTAAAGACAGACCATTCTTTACTGGGAAGGTGCCAACAGTTTAAAGGTTAAACTAGAATAAATTATTTAACCTACTGACAAAATAGTTGCAAATATAATACAGTTTGTACTCAATTTAAGTTCTATTATGGTAAATCTAAAAACACAGTAACTAGTCTAAAGACCACATACCTTTGAGGTAGAAAACTTCACCACATTAGAAGTAAGAATTGTGTTTTGAAAGTAACGCGGAATTTGAAAATGCTTCAGGGAATGAGTGCGGAGCATACCTGGGACACAAATACAATAAAACTCATATAAATCGGATCAGTCGGGACCATAACAACACAATAACAACAACTTGAATCTATATAGTGCCCTTCAGGCTGGGTAGCGTCCTGGACATTGAATAGCAAATTCCTATGTTCTAATATGACTTGCGCAAAGTCTGAGTTGCAGGCAAACTGTATAAATGGTATCTAATCCAATTCAATCAATAATTTAGAGTGCCCATACATAATTCACTGCAGCCAGTAAGTGCGCATGCGGTAGTACATAAACTGTCAAGAGTTGTGTTTACATTGTCCAAATATTATAATTTTCCTTCAATTGGACTTGTTCAAATTAGCTAGATGGAATATTCACGAATCCTGCAGTTCTGGTTACTAAGCAATGAGCAGTTTGCTTTGCCTGTAACTACATACACAAAAGCCAACACAGTATAAGAATTGGGAATGACTATAATGAGAAGACTGTTGGAGGGAGCTGCATCATCTCAAGTCCAACCAGGCAGCACCAGGGCTGCAGCAAACCGAAACAGTACCCACATGAAGCCCACAGCCCAGCGATGGGGTACAGTCAGAATGCAACTTTCGCGGAGTTAAAATAAAATGTCGCAGTACTTCCTGTTTTTGTCAAATCGATAGGGCATGTGATGCAGTGCTTACTTGTGCTGGTGGAGAGGGTTATTATTTGCACCAACTGAACACTGGCGGCTCAGTCCTGGAAACAAACAACACACGAGAGAGAGAGAGAGAGAGAGAGAGAAGGCCAGTCAGTCTGTCTGCACAGGGACAGCGACAGAGGAAATCACACAGTCTCCAGTCCAAACATGGCGAGAGTCAACAACACACAATGTCACCCTCTGTGTGTGTGTGTGTCTCACACACTCCACACCAACACAACTGCGTCCTGTGACAAAGCTCAGCGCCAGGTGGCCAATCCCTTTTTACGCACCAGCTGGTTCCACCCTGGGAGGGTGTGGGGGGGTGGGGAAAAAACATTGCACTCTCGATCCACAGTAAAGAAAGCTTACGTGGCCTCTCCTCTCCTCTCCAAACCAAGTTAGATGCTGAAACTGGAAGCCACAGGGAGTTTTTTTTCCCCTCCCCCTATACAGAGAGAGCGAGAGAGAGATTCCTGTGTGAAGTTGCTCAGAAAGTTTGCTTCTGTAGGAATTGCTGTAGCTCAGTGGTTAGAGCACTCGCTTTGCAAGCGAGAGACCTGGGTTCAATTCCAGGCAGAGGGCGAAACCTTGGGCAAGTTTTTTTACTCCACACGCCTAATAATAATCCCTCCAAAACCAAAACAAAACAATAATAAATTGGTCATTTTCAATCCATGACTGTTTGTGGGACATTGCTTTGCGCAATTGGCTGCCGCGTTCGCCCACAAATATACAGTCAATTCACTTTACAGTGTTTTCTGTGAAGCGCTTTGGGAAGACCTCTCAACGTGAAAAGCGCTATATCAAATGCAAGAATTATTATTATATTATTATTAGTAGTATTGTCCACAGATCAACAAATCTGAGTCGAATCACTCGTTTTCCAACTTGGATGTTGAATTTTTTTTTGTGACACGTGAGATGTGATTACGACATCAAATCAATACTTTCCCCCAAAAATGTGTAGTTGAAGCAGAATCCCAAATAGGCTGTATATAATATCATACGCAAATGAGATTGTGATTATCATAAATACTATTATTAAGGTTGTAATAAATGTTACAAAAACATAATTTTATTTCATGATATTATACAATAGGTTTTAAAAGGGAATTAGACAAAGGTTTGAAAAAGGGAATATTAAAAAGATATGGGGAAAGAACAGGGGAATGAATATCTCTCACAGAGAGCTAACACAGGCATGATGGGCCAAATGACCTTCTCCTTCAAATGGCCATTTGCCCTCAACGCATTACTATGCTTTTTGAGCCTATGTTATGCTCAAGTATAGTTTGATGAGCACTAGAAGTTCCCTGACATCATGTGAAAGTAGCTATTCTTCACTTGTGAATCTTGGCATTGAATGTCGATGAGCTCTTCAACCACGGGAATGTTAGAACCCAAGCTAACAGCCCAAACTGTTCCTAACTTTACCCAATATCCACACATATTTTTTCCTGGGAGGTATCATTGGGTAGATCCCTAGCTGGGAAGGAGCGAAAAGAGATCTTGAGGCCCATGAAGTTCACTCCGACGAGAACCTTTCTTCACTCCCTCCCATCCTCACAATATATGCCAAGTTATTAAGTTATAGAAACATTGGTACGGTTTTCTACTTCGTAGCTCAAAGATGCTGAATCCAACCAAGTATCACTATGAACAAGATCAGCTAACTCACCACATAGCCTATGGATTGAATCTTGTCAGGTTCAGAACCACATGGTGACTTTATCCACTGGCCCGATGGGAGGGTTGTGTTCAATATATTGACGGGTTTAGTGATCGTGGAGGAAAGTGGCCTCAAGCATTCAGCGAGCTATTGTTCTGGTACTTCAAACCAGAGATCCTGTTCCAGTGTCAAGAGTTGGAGCCAGGAACAGCTTCATATGGAGAAAGAAATGGAAGTGGTACTGGGGTCAGGGGTGGATTGATGTTGGCTGGGGCAGGTGGAACAGGTATTATAGAGGAACGGGGAGGGGGAGATAGAGGGCACAGAGACAAGTAACTGGTACAAGTGTGGGGTCACCACAAGAGGTGACTTGCGGGTTAGCGAAGGATGCCGCGTAAACACTGTGTAAAACGGCATCAAATCCCCTTACACTTGACATTGGGGGTGGGGGGGTAATAAGATTTTCTAGTAAAGGACACACTGCAATCAAGGCAAATGCCTTTTCCTTTCTTGATGTTAACTTACAAACCCACGTGTGAATTCTAGAACCATTCTTCAGGTGGGTAAAAGGCTTTCGAAATATATTTGGAATTCTCTTCTGTTTTAACTGAATCTCGTTGAAACCAAAACAAATCAGCAGGTTTATGGGGAAAGAATGTGCTTATAGCGAATACTTTTCTGTTACCTGATTAAACATATTGTGTAGGAACTTTACTGGGTGAATGCATTTTATGAAACGTGATGAAATATAGTTTGTTTGTTGTATTGGAAATCTAAGTCAGATTTCATAACAACTGAACAAGTTGTAAGTAATCAGGAATACTAAGATTAAAAATTAGACATCTTTATTGTGCTGCTTGTCTCGTATGATCCATTACGGTGGCCACCTGGGAAACCTGATCAATCCTCATTTGGATTTGGTATTCACAGCACCAGTTAAAGGGCTCAACAACCAACTAGTAATTTTTAATCTGTTCTCTGCACAGTGCTGACAATTTCACAGTTGCTGTGATGGTGATGATTCATACCAGTGAAATGTGAAAAAAGACTAGTAGTGAATTATTGGTTAATAGTCTGCAATATGCCAAAAGTTCTGGAGTCATTTATTTACATTTTAAATATACTTCCACCTTATAATGCCTACATTTATAATCACAGTAATTCCGTGGTTAATGTTGCATTACCAGGATTCTTTGACTCATGAGAATGACTTTTAAAACCTTACAATGCCCACATTATAAATCCAATCTTTCAGGTGGTGATGTTGCATTGCTAACTGTAACTTCTCAGAATGACCCTTACAATTCTGAATTACTTGATAATCAAGTCCAGAGCACATTTAGTATTGGCAAAATGTAAAAATGAATCCGTATTGGAATACTTGTTAACAAGGTGATGATTTACAAAATATGTTCGGACTGGATTTTATATCTGTTTGAATGCTTGTGTGTAAGAATGGAATAATGGATGAAAAGTATCAAAAAGTGACATAAATTAAGTAAATATTTTCAAAATTCCTGCAGATTGTAATTTGAAAACTACCTTGAAATATAGTTTTAAAAATAATTTCTCAAGATTGGAATTTTAAAGAGTAGCTATATTTCAGACTCAATTCTAGACTGTATCCATCAGGGCTCCCAAATAAAGCTTCCTTGTTTTTTTTACAGAGACCCAAACCATGTAAACAGGGATATTGAAATATTAAGATATTGAAAAGCAAGAATATCAAAGCTCAGAGAGCACCAGCTTAGGCCAAGTGGATCAAATATTCTGTTAAAATTTCTATAATGTTTCATTATTCTAAAAACTGGGTTACAACTATATTCAGTATATATTTGGCCTGAAAAATCCAACAACAACAACTTGCATTTATTTCGCGCCCCTCACGCAGGATAGCATCCCAGAGCACTTGAAATCTGAGACAAAGTTTATCCCGACTTCATAAACTCAACACATTATTTTAAATAGATGGAATTGTTGTCTTTATTCCTGCAGTTGGTGCTGTTAGCTGTAGCACAATTTATGGCATCCTTCCCTTTGTTATTTTTGCTGTTGTTTCTCATGCTTCGTTAAATCTCTAAGCAAACATGAATTGAAAGGCATTCAAAATTTGGCTGTGAATATTTTGAAGAGGCTGTGTAAACAATGCACTTCTGTGTACTATACACATAAAAGCTCGGAGCAATTACCCAGCCTAAAGGAATGTCATTGTCTTCTCAGTGAATAAGTAGGATACATGTAATAATGAATAGCAAGAGATAGTGTATTAATTAATGAAGGTTTATATTTCAATTGCTGCAAGCTTGAAGTTGCTACAGTAGCAAATTACTGCTAATATAGTTCGTACAAGGAATTAAGTCAATGGGCACTCTCTGAACAGAGATTTGTATTTTCAAGTGTAATGGCATCATTACAATTTCTAAGGGTTCTTTATTTTCTATTTCTGCCATTGTATCAATGCAACGATTATTGTTAATATTGTGACCTCATTTTACAAACAAAACCACTTTTCAAACGTTCACTTTTTGCTTTGAATCTCAAAATAGAAAAGGACCCAATAACTTCAAGACTCCGAGTGCTTTGTTTCACAGTATCATACATTCGTGGCATAAAAAGCAACTTTGTAGCCCAAAACATTTGAGATTTAAAACACATTTGAACTGTTACAAACCTCGGTCACTTGGCAAGCTATTGCGATAAACATGGTTTGGGAGGTGCTTTCTTGACCTAAACTGGCAAGAAATTCCATTCTATATCTCAGTGACCTAACCTTGATCCCTAACAAGCAATGGTTTAATTGTCAGAGGCTGTCGATTCCATTCGTTGCTGAGCTTCCTTTTCTCTTCTTTGAACTTAGTTTATCAGATCAAAATTCATTCCCGGCCGGGCAGGGCGAAACGTAGAGCAAGTTTCCTTACTCCACACACACGCCTCTGTTTACCTAGCAGTAAGTAAGAACCCACTTGTTAGTCGATTGCCGGATCGCTTTCCGGCAGTAATAATCCCTTCAAAATAAAAATAATATTGTGGTCACTCAATTCACAACTGTTTGTGGGACACTGCTGTGTGCAATTGGCTACCGCAGTTCGCCCACAAAACACAAAGTCGCTACACTTTAGTGTATCCTGTGAAGCGCTTTGAGATGTCTCGAAGATGTGATCAGGCATTATTTTTATATCGTAAGATTGAAATGTAAAAAAAAGCGATCTTCTGAAATGCAATTTTTGTTTGTTTCATATCAGTTAAGATCTGATTGAATCAACAATCTGTCAAGAGCAAGAGATAAATTACAAGGGAGCAAAAACTTATTTTACTTGATGCGATACATTTCAGCTTTGATATTGGCTTTAATGATTCACATGCTGCGTTGAGACATGATGGGATCACAGATGATAAGAGCAATTGGAGACTTAACAATTCAACTATGACTAATTGTTTGGGATTTCCTTATCTTCAAGTGTGTGAGTGCATGTCTGCCTAGTATTTTCCCGGAAAGCTAAATAATATTTCCTGTACTTCGGCTTCTAAAAACCAACATACAATATGTTTGTATCTGTCCAGTAAGAGTAATTAAGGCCATTTCATTTCTAGATTTGTTCTTCATGTTTTTGACTGTAATAATATGGATGATGAAAAAGTAGGATTGGAAATGGTTTGAGGTTTTGAGGCTTTCTAGTCCAGAATCTGTTCATGATAAACCTATACAGTGCAGTGCTCGGTTTTTGCTACCAGAGAGCGTTAGTGAGCTGCATTTACCCAGTTTTAGAAAACCAG